CAGAGATCGCCTCTTTACTGCGAGCCTCACTGGCTGTGGCTGCTGTGGTATGTCCTCCTTAATCTCCCCTTTCTTTCTTTTTTTGTGTGTCCTCCAACTCGTGATCCTTCTGCCTCAGACCCCCCCAAGTACTGGGATTGCAGGTGTGCAACACCATGGTGGCCACCACCTTAATCTTGCCGTTCTTGTCACTGTAAGATTTCAGTTTCTGGTGTCCATTGAGTAAGGGTTGGGGGAAGAAATACTTTTTCTTAAATCCACTTGAATGATAATTTTCCCTTTTCTTTTTGGGGGACAGACTAGGGATTGAGCTAATCTTTTCTTTGAAGCAGCTCCCCTGCAGCTATTTTTTTTTTTTTCATTTTTCTTTTATTATTCATATGTGCATACAAGGCTTGGTTTATTTCTCCCCCCTGCCCCCACCCCCTCCCTTACCACCCACTCCACCCCCTCCCGCTCCCCCCAATTTTTTAAAGAAAGCTTTAATGAAGTTCAAGAATTTATTTGGTGCTTGTTCAGCTCTTAGTGTTTGTCATGTTTTTAAAAAGCATGTGCTCCTGAACACACATGCTTTGATGCAGGTTAAGGCAGAGGGATTTTGTGGCTCAGGCACACCTGTTAAGGATCTGGCAGGTCACCTGTGCATGTCACCTTCTCTGGGGTGAGCGGGTCAGGACACAGAATTAGAACGACTTGACAGCAGTGGCTGCTTCTTAAGGTGGTCTGGTAGGGTCAGGCAGGCTTTCTTTTCCTTGTGGCTGAGCTGCAGGACGGCCCGCACTAGGCTGCCGTGCGCATGCGTCATGGACCCTCACCATGAGGAGGGGAAGTGGTGCTGCAGTTGCTCTCCTCCCACATTTGCCAGTGAACTCATTCACCCTGGCGCCATGTGCTCAGTGGTCCCAGTGCCCCTGAGAGCAAACTTGTTTCTGGGTGGCCCTGAACCCCAGGGAGTAGCAAGCAAAGGCCTGGCAGTGGGCACCACCTGCTTTCTGATCTGTCCTGAACTGCTTCACCAACTGCAGCCCGGAAGCAAGCCTGGCGTCCCCTGTGGCACCCAGTGTCATGAGCAATCTTTCCCTTTGCCTTTGTTGGTTCTCCTGGGTGGCAAAGCCAAGCCCTCACGTCCATGGTTTCCTTCCCTGGCTGTTTGTAGGAAGAAATTGCGCAAGAACTACATTTTTTAGTAATTCAAACCAGAAGCTTCCCAGGCCGCTGTGTGTGTATAGTTCCCTGCCCTAGTAGCCACAGAGGTAGTGGGGAAAGCCAAGGCCCTGCACAGACCACAGGTGTGGCCAGCTGCCCTGCCTGACTGCTGAGATGTTTGTTCTCTTTTTTGGGCCTGCAGTTTGTCTCTTAACATTTGCCAGTGAGGGTAACATGTCCAGCTTGAGGGGAGTGACTGGCTCAGAGTCCCCTGCCAACCAAAGCCAAGGCCTTCCCTGAAGAAGGGACGCAAGGGTGGTGGGGGTGGTCTGTCCACCATAATTGCCAGTCTGACTGCACCCCAGACAGCTGGAATGCTTCCCTGTAGCTTGGGCCAAGGGAATCTGGGCCTGTGTTCTGTGCTGCCCTCTCGCCTCTGAGACGGAGCCCCTGGGACAGGCGCAGCTCTGAGGCCAGTGCAGGAGTGAGTGAGTGTCAGCCTCCACACTGGACACTTAGGGCTAGATTGGACTTCGTTCCAGGCTGTCTTGTGCACTGTGGGATGTGGAATCTACCCACTAGATACCAGGAGCTTCCCACCCTCCATGTGACACCCAAGTCATTGCCCAAGGTTGGGGAGCAGAGCTAGGTTACCCCCAGTTGAGAAACACTAACCAAGGTGAAGTACTGGCTGCTGCTGATGGTGGCATAGCCATTGAGGTAGAACATCCCTCCGTCACCCTATGCACCTCAGCTCCAGGGAGGCCAGCACTAACAAGGATCTCAGCAGTTGCGTAAGTGCCATCAACATCAGTGACATGGGGCCTTGTCACTGATGAGCAACACCAGTAGGAGGTCAAGGTAGTGATGTGGAGCACTGCCTATGCAGAGGGACACTCTCTCTCTCTCTCTCTCTCTCTCTCTCTCTCTCTCTCTCTGTCAGATGTCTGAAGGGAAGTGGCAAGAGTTAGTGAGAGCACACACTTGGATGAGGGCTGGGCATGGGGAGCTATGGCAGGGTCAAGTGCTGCCTTGTTACTGTTGGGGTGGAGGAACAAAGGCAGGGCCTGTTGTTATCCAGAGTTAGGAAGTTAGAAACAGCCAAGTAAATGACAGTAAGAACTGGGACATGGTGGCTGGGCATTGCAAGTGCACATTGGTAATCCCAGCATCAGGGAGGCTGAGGCAGGAGGATGGAGAGTTTGAGGTCAGCCTCCTGTGCTACATAGCAAGACACCATCTCAAAAAAATAAAACAAAAAATAGTCAAAGGCTAAGCACTGGTGAGGAGGTAGAGACAGGGAACCTGTATGCGGTCGGTGGGAATGTAACTTTGTGCAGCCATTATGGAAAACAGTATGGAGGTTCCTAAAAACTGAAAAATAGAACTGCCACATGACTCAGCAGTCCCATGTCTGGGTATATCTTCAAAGGGATTGAAATCAGTATGCTGCAGAGACACCTGCACTGCAGCACTAGCAGAATCAAGCGTCCACTGACAGATGGGTGGAGAAAGGAAATGTGGTACAAACACCTGATGGAATACTACTCAGCCATAAAAAAGAAGGACGTCCTGTTGTGTGCAGCAACATAGAACCAGAGGGTGTTATGCTGAGTGAAATAAGTCAGGCACAGACAGATGAATACTATGTGGGCTCATTTCTATGTATAATCTAAAAAAAACTTGAACTCATAGGAGCTAAGAGTAGCATGGTGGTTACTGGGCTCTAGGGGTGGCATAGGGAATACTATATACTTATGAAAAGATCTAAAGTTTTAGGTAGGTGGGAAGAATAAGTTTTGGGAATCTATTGTGCAGCATGGGTATTGCATAGCATAATTAATGTAATGCTTATTTCAAAATTGATGAGAGAATAGATTATAAATGTTCCCACCACACACAAAGAAGAAAAGTGTTAGATACCTTGGCTTGATTTATTCATCACATCCCATAAATACATGCAGTTATTACTTGTCAATAAAAATAGCAGTAGGATGTGGGGAGCCAGAGGTGAGTGAAGGTTGGCAGGGTCCCCACCTGGCGGCCCATGATGGTCAGATTGCTGTCGGGCCAGCACCTGCAAGCGCTGAGCACGTGTTCTTGCTTCTCTTCTCACTGTCTCCTTCCCTGTGGAAGAAGGTGAGCCTTGGGGAGGCAGGGAGCTTTGTCTGTGCCCACGGGGAGGCAGGGAACTTTCTCTGAGCCTTGGGGAGGCAGGGAGCTTTGTCTGTGCCCACGGGGAGGCAGGGAGCTTTGTCTGAGCCTCGGGGAGGCAGGGCGTCATGGCTCTGCCCGCAGCTTTGGTCCAGGCCAGAGCTCTTTGCTTCAGGGGTGAGAGTTCAGGCTCTGTGGGGACTGCTCTTGACCTTCCCCGAGACCTTGTGGTCTGTGGCTCCCCAGAAGATTTGAAGCCACAGCGTCTCCTGAGCCTAGCAGCAGGGCTGGGGCTCGAGCGCCACACCATCTGATGAAGATAGCAGTTTTGGTGTTCTGTGCCTCTGTCTCCCACCTAAATCGCCTCTTGGCTGCTAGGGCCTGCCATCCCTCCTTGCCCTGGCACCCCCAGCTCACATGCTCATGTCCCTTCTGTCTGTCCAGGAAGGCGAGAACAATGACAAGTTCTTCACCCACCCCAAGAGTGCTGCAGCGCTGGCAGCCTACCTCTTTGCACATAACCACCTCTTCTACCTGATGGAGCTGCTCACGGCCCTGCTCCTGCTGCTGCTGTCCCTGTGCGAGGCGCCTGCTGTCCCCGCGCTCCGGCTTGGCATTTATGTGAGTGCCTAGGGGGCTCTGTGGCTCACTGGAGGCCAGCAGTGGAACCCTGACCGGGAACATTCTGGAGAGGCAGAGACTGCAGACAGACTCAAGACAGAGAAGCCCTAGGAGGTCATCGGGGCCGTCTCACTAGGCGAACTCTGTCTCTCACAGCGGGGTGTTGGGGGGCACTCCCTTTAGGACCATTGCCCACACCTGGCTACGTGGGCAGGGAGCCAAGTGATGGTCCAGGGCATGTCTGTGTGTGGAGGCTGCTTCGTCCTCCCATTCACAGGCAGGAGCGGGGAGGGGTGCCCTGGCCTGTCCAGCCTGGGCTCTGAGGCACTTGTGACGAGGTCCTCCCTCCCTTCCATGGCCTCCTCCCATTTCCCCTGAAGTGTGCAGCTTCAGCCGTACCATTCCACATGCTGTCCTCCTCCATGTGCTCCCCACGCTGGCCCCTTCCTGCGGTTCCCACTTCCCTCCTTCCACTCTTCCAGCACTGCCATCCACGAGTCTTGCTGGACCATCCATGGGGCAGGAGCCCTCCACCCCAGCTGGAGATGTCCCCTCTGTTTCTTGAAGCCCAGGACTTCCCTGCTGGGAAGTGTGTTCCAGGCAGACAGGGGCCGTGCAGACCTGATGTCCCTCTAGGGCCTCACCTGGCCACCCATTGGTCAGGCCCCAGGGAGGGCTAAGGGCTCAGTCCTGGAGACACTGCAGCAGTGACACAAATGAGGCTTGGTCAGGGTTCTTCCCTCTTTTTGTCCTTTTGTCCACAGTGGGAACTGAGGTTTGTCAGCCTTCTGTGTCTCTTTGACTTGTGGGTTTTAAATTGAATTCTGGTGGGTTTTCCCTTTGTTTTTGTTTTTAAATCTCATGTTCCCTTCATGTCTCTCGTGAGTGTTCAATAAACTATGTGCAGACCTTCCTAGAATAAGGATAGGTATACAAATTGTCTTATCTTTTTTTCCTTACTCAACTTCAGCTTCTTCCCAATTTTTCATTGTGTGGATCCGCACATCTGTTTCTTGAATGTTAAGTTTATACTTAGCTGTCTGGGAAGAGCTCCATCTCCAGGGCTGTGTCTGGCATCTGGGATTTTGTAGCTGAAGTGTGAGTGAGGAGGGTTCCTAGGAGGTTGAGACACAGGGAGGCGGCCTTGGAGGCTTTGAGAAGTCACGCCTCTATCTCTCTGGCTGCAGGTCCACGCCACCCTGGAGCTGTTCGCCCTGATGGTGGTGGTGTTTGAACTCTGCATGAAGCTGCGGTGGCTAGGCCTGCATACCTTCATCCGGCACAAGCGGACCATGGTCAAGGTGATGTGCTCGTCTATTTGTCCATCTCATTACAGAACTTTGTCACACATGCCCTTTGAGCTTATGTTTTTGGTTCCATTTAAAATCCCCCTGGGGACTGGCTCAAATAGTAGAGCACCTGCCTAGTAAGTGTGAGGCCCTGAGTTCAAGCCCCAGTGCCGCCAAAAAAAAAAGAAAAAGAAAGAAAAAAAATCCCCTATGGGCCTAGTCTATGCTTGGGAGTGTAACCTAGGGTCCTGTCCACCCCACACTTCCGGTCTTGCTGGATCCCTGGTTGGGTGTCCTGGTGATGCCAGCAGCAGCTGTGTGAGTGGTGTTGAGCACACTTCAGGTTCTGGCACAGTCACCTGTTCATTTCACACTCAGCCAGATGGAAGAGAGTCAGGTTCAGAGCTGGCTCTGCTGCCCTCACACCATGCCCCTAGCCACGAGTGTGTGCATCTTTGTGTGGCAGAGAGAGCCAGTAGGAATGTGTTGGGTGTCCTGCAGTGTGCACGGTGTGTAGGAGAATGTCCCTAAGTGGGCAAGATGGAGATGAGCTGAGACCTCTGGGACTTCCTGGTGCCTTCGGGGGTCTTTGAGGAGAGTGTTGGGTGCTGACAGGCAGAGTGGCGGCTTCCCTCCAGTGAATACTGTGGGAGAGGATCTGTGGAAGCCCTCTGCATTTCCTTCTCTTGGGGCCATACATCTGTGCAGGTCTTTGGAGGGCTCTTCAACGAGGGCTGTTGATGATGGTGGCTGTGTGTGGGGGGTGTACAGAGAGAAAGAGATGGAGGGGCAGGAGCTGCTGAGGAGGAGCTCTGACTGTGCTCCATGCCTGCTGCCCTCAGACCTCGGTGCTGGTGGTGCAGTTCATCGAGGCCATTGTGGTGTTGGTACGGCAGACATCCCATGTACGGGTGACCCGGGCACTGCGCTGCATCTTCCTGGTGGACTGTCGGTACTGCGGTGGTGTCCGGCGGTAAGTCCCAGGGCAGGGTGGGCTGGACAGTCCCACTGTGGCCTGGCCTGGACCTCTGGGCCAGTGTAGCTAGAGCCATGTGAGCTAGCATAGGCCAATGGTGCACGCTGGTGGAGTGTAAGCTTGTTGGCTACCCCCACCATGGGCCCATGACTCTGGAGCCAGGGCCCTTCCCTGTCTACCTGCGGCCCTCTGGAGCTGGTTCCTCTCTCTACGCATGTTATCCACCTGGACACAGTGGCAGGGCTTGGCAAAGCCCACATGACCCCAGGCAGGCTCCCAGCCCCTCTACAGATGCTGGGGGACTGAACTCAGAGCAGATCAAGCCTGGAGCTAAACTTATCTTTGGAGACTCCATCCAGAAAATTACTGTTGACAGCAAACATTTTATCCTTTGTGTCCATCCTCAAAACTGGAAATGAGCGTTCCAGGACAAGGTGGCCCTGATGTGTGTTCATGCAGCTCACCTCCCACTGTGGAAGCTGACCTTGGCACCCAAGGTCATGTACTTGACCTTCTGCTGGCTTGCAGGGCACTTACCCACACATCCTTAGGTGGAGGTGGCTGTGCGTTCCTTTTAGCCAGAGTGGGGCTCAGGCCCCACTAGCAAAAAGCCAAGCACGGTGTCCTTCGGGGCAGTGGGACTTAGTATCCCAGATGAGGGGCCCCAGGCCCACATCTCTACCAAGGTGGCCCCTCTAGGAGACCCAGACGCCACCCCAGGCCTGGATCCTGTCTTTGCCCCACAAGCTAGCCCATCTTTCTGCCCAGGAATCTGCGGCAGATCTTCCAGTCCCTGCCGCCCTTCATGGACATCCTGCTGCTGCTGCTGTTCTTTATGGTCATCTTCGCCATCTTGGGTGAGTGGCCGCCTCGAGCCCGGCACTTTCCAAAGGCATGCACACAGGCACAGCAGTCCTTTTGGACTGCTAGAACAAAGCACCATAGACCGGGTGGCTTAGAAACAGCAGAAATTCATTGCTTGCAGTTCTAGAGGCTGGAGTCCAAGGTCAGGGTGTCAGCAGGCCTACTGTCTAATGTGGGCATTCCCTGGTCCACAGTCAGCCACAGCCTCACATGGGAAAGTGTGAGGCAACTCTGGGGCTACAGTCTTGCTGTGTAGCCCTGGCTGGCCTTGAACTCTCGATCTTCCTGCTTCTCAGCCTCCCAAGTGCTGGAATAACAGGTGTGCACTACCAAGTGCAGCCACTGCCTACACTTGGTAGAATCTCATTTTTGCTTCTCATGGGAGGAGTGGGGCTGGCTCCTCATTCAGCCTTCCAAGAATGATTTGGGATTAGCCCATTCCAGGAGGGAGGAAGAAATGGTATTCCCACCCTAGGACCTTGGCTGCCGGGGAACAGCAGGACCCCTTTGGATTTGACTTGGCTGTCACCTCCTCAAAACTAAAGACTGCAAACCAGCAGTGTGGATTCCAGATCCATAGATGTGTTTCATTTGGTCTGAAAACTTTGAGCCAGCATTTTAAGATTAGACTTTATTCAAGGATACAGATCTCCAGCCTTTCTAAAGGACACACCCGAGGGTACGGGTACGTTCTTGCAGGGTAGGCATGTGGTGCCCAGTAGCTCCCTTAGACGACACATTTTCTCTGTGATGCTGCCGTCCTTGCCATGCCCTGGTGCCTCCCTCAGCCCTCCACACTCCTTACATTTCTCTGGCCAATCCTTTGGACCTTTGGATTTGACACCTCCTCTCTAACCTGCTTTTGATATGTTTTTCTGTCACCTTCCAGGTTTCTACTTGTTCTCCCCTAATCCTTCGGACCCTGTGAGTAATTGACACTTCTCTGCTTTTGTGGGAGGTTTTCTCTCAGGCAAGTGGCTGGGTGGCCCTCCTGCTATATTAGGAAGGGATGCCTTGCCTGGCTTCTTGTCACAGCTTCTCGTACCAGAGGGTCCCTGTCACTCAGACTTGAGCCATTTCTTTCCTCGAGAGTCAAGGGACTTCCCTTTCCTGTCCTTAGAGGAATGTTTCCAGGGTCAGGTTGGAACATCAGAACATTCTGGCAGAGGAGCAGTGGAGGGGAGCCAAGCTAACTGCCTGAACATGTGACTCCTGGGGAAAAGATCCCCCAAAGTTGGTCACTTGCTTTTGCCAGAAGCATCCAGCTCAGGAAGGCAGAGGCCTCCCATACTTGTTCTGCCTCTGCTGTGCCACCCCTCAGGCTTCCTTGGAGGAAGAAGGGTAGGGAGGGTGCTGGAGATAGCCATGCACACTGTGTGCTCTCACCATGCCCCTGCTCCTTCCCTGTAGTACTTCAGCACCCTGGAGAACAGCATTGTCAGCCTGTTTGTCCTTCTGACCACAGCCAAGTAAGTCCAGGCCCCCTTTACCCTCTGTCCTCTGCTGGTGCCTGGGGGTGTCCCCTCTTTCTATCTAATTGTGCTCCCCAGCTCAGCATACACTGGCCTAAGTGGAGGGAAAGGAAATGACTGTCCTTTATAAGGCAGAGCCTTGGGGGAAACCAAGACAGGCTGTGCGGGCCTGTGGGTGACCTTGTGCCCTACAGCTTCCCAGATGTCATGATGCCCTCTTACTCCCGGAACCCCTGGTCTTGCATCTTCTTCATCGTGTACCTCTCCATTGAGCTGTACTTTATCATGAACCTGGTGAGTGACTTCTTGGGCCCTTGCAGTGCCAGGCACATGGGGATGGAGAATTGGGCTGCCATCAACCTCTGGGGCAGAGTACCAGGAAGGGGAGTCCAGGCCTATGGTGAGGGGACTTTGGGGACTGTCCTATGAGGGCTACAGTGGCTCCACTGGTCAGCAGGGGTAGCAGCCTCACTGGCTTAGCTGCTACTGCTGCCACCACACATAGTGCCTGAAGTTTAGGCTAAGGCTACCTAGGAGCTGTTCTTACAGCAAACACTGCAGTAACTGTAAAAGCTGCTGTTTATTAATAAATGGTTTTTATATAATAATGCAAAGGTTTAACACCACCCCTCTGGAGGTTCTGTTATGGTCATGACTCTCAGTGTACAGATGTAGAAACCGAGGGTCCCAGGAACAGAGTGATGGGCACCACAGCTGCACCGCACAGGGCAGCCTGGGGCGGATTCCAGAGCTCTGCCCCAGCCTCTGTCCTGTTGAACCCCTGTGCCAAGAACATTGTGTATGTTTATTTCTGCCCCTTTAATCACAAGCCATCACAAAATCAGACATAGAATACATTCCCCTGTGCACACCAGACACTGGAGATGTTTGGGAGGCCATCAGGATCGTGGCCAGTACTGTGCTTTAGGTCAGCATTAACCCCACAGTCACTCGACAGGGGCTTGCCACACAGTCTTGAGGTTTGTGCTTGTGCAGTGCTGGTGACGGACCCTGGGGCTTCACTCATGTTAGTAAGTGATCTATCCCTGAGCCACCCCAGCCCCTTGTGTTTCTTTGTAAACTTTTTTTTTTTTTTTTTTTTTTTGGCAGTACTGCGGTTTGAACTCAGGGCCTCACGCTTTCTAGGCAGGTGCCCTACACTTGAGCCACGCCCCAACTATTTATAAATGCTGAACAGTGTTCTCACACTGGCTGCCAGTCAGGCCCCGTGTAGAAATGGAAACTACTCTTCTAAGTAGGCTTGTGGAATCTAAAAATTTGTTCTTTTTTTAATTCCTCTAAAGCAGAAAAGAACTACATTGCGGCCTCCTGTATTGTTTTTCATTTGTAATATATTTAGAGCTGGCTGTTGGGAAAATGAAGTACCCATTTTTCTCACACAGTGTCAGGAGACTCTGAGACCCCAAAAGTGAGGGAATTTCTCCCCACCAGCAAGCATGCTACTCTGCAATGGATGCCAACTGGGCGTCCCCTAATCCTGTCTACCTGGAAGTAGTGTCAGACCCCAGAGGTTGAGAGCTCAGTCTCCAGGACTGTCCCCCATTTTGGGTGCCAGTCACAAGCCCCACACTGTTTCCTCTGCTTCTGACTAGGGGACGCCTGGTTCCTGCAACCCTGTCTTTGGGGTCAGTTAATTTGCTTGAGTGACTCACACAACTCAGGGAAACACACTTAGCGTTTGTCAGAATGAATATTGCAAAAAAGTACAGACAAATAGATGTGTAAGGCAAAATATGGGGGAAGGGGCATGGAGCCTCCACATGCTCTCTCAGCTCCGCCCTCCAGGAACCTCCATGTGTTCCTGGAGACTTCATTGTGTAGGTATGATTGAAGCATTGGCAACCATGTAGGACTGTGATTGGATGAAAGGGTATGATGTAATGCTAGACTAGGGTAGCCTCCCTCCTCCAGGGCCTGGGGTGGGACCCCTCTGGAGACTGAGGACTTTATGACCTACTGTTAGATAAGGGTTGGTCAGAGAATTTCTTTATGGCCAGCTCCAATTCAGAAAGACCTGGGAAGATTAGTTCCTATCTCACCTTAAGGAAGAGAAATTCTAGTTTCTATGGCCCACCTTGGGGAGGGAGTTGTGGTATGAGCCAGGAACTGTGATGAAAACAAGCGATAACAGTTGAGGGCGGGGTGAGCAAGAAAGACCCTGCTGTCCAAGGCTGGGCCACAGCCTATTTTTTGGCAGTACTGGGGGTTGAACTTAGGATCTTGTGCTGCTAGGCAGGCACTCTACCACTTGAGCTATGTTCCCAGCCCCTCCACAGCCTGTTTTGATAAATATTTTATTGGCACACAGCCATGCCCATTCATTTACTACATCTGACAGCTACTACCACAGGGTTGAGAGACCATCTGGTCTTTAGGTTGTAGGATATTTGCTATGTGGCCCATTAAAGAAAACATTTGCTCACCTTTGATCTACATGGAAAAATGGGAGACCAATTTGAGGGGTGGGAAGAACAAGAGAGTTCCCCTCAAAACATTTTTGAAAGACAAAATATTTCTGGAAAGGATTTTTTGAAATTCTTCCCCGTCCTCCTGTAGCCCTGATAATGCAGACCACACCACTAGTAAGCTAACTTTGGGCTTAATGGTTCCAGGGTGTTTCTTCCTCCAGCACAGGCCTCTTCCTTCTCCTTGCTTCTGAGGCCACACACGTGACCCACAAAGAAAGTAATCAGGGCAGAAAGAGGAGGCTGCGGGGTGCAAAGCATACATAGCCTCCTGGCTGTCCTACTGAGAATGCAGGTGTGTTCTGTGCCCTTTTTCTTCTCCCTGGCCTGTCTCCTGCCCAGCCAGGAATAGGCTGTGGTAGAGAGAAGAGGAACCTGGAGAAAATCCAATAACAGTGTCTTCAGGTGTCTGACAATAGACATTTACCTGTGGCAACAAATGGTCACCCCATGGGGAGAATTGGAGATGAGCTTCCTGCTCCAGCAGGTGCAGCCAGAGGGTCTCCTGGAGCCACTGGGGTTGTGGGGCAGACAATGGCCCGCCACCACCTGAGGCTATCAGGAAGAACAGCCAGGCTCCATGCTTCTCCCTCACAGCTCCTGGCCGTGGTGTTTGACACTTTCAATGACATTGAGAAACGCAAGTTCAAGTCTTTGCTGCTGCATAAGCGAACTGCCATCCAACATGCCTACCGCCTGCTCGTCAGCCGGCGGGTAGGGAGGAGTGGGCCTGGGAGGGGGTGGGCCTCCGTTCTCCTTCCTTTGCCTAGAGCAGCCCCTAACCGGCAGGGCTGGCTGTCTCAGAGCAGCAGTCCTGCTGCAGGAGAAAGTGCAGGTGCCCTGGGGACTCACTCATGCTGGGCATCAGAGTCGCTGCCCAGGGGAGTGTCTATCTGGGTCCTGGGTGTTCCTGTTCCATTGCACACCTACCCTCCCCCTAGAGGCCTGCCGGCATCTCCTTCAGGCAGTTTGAAGGCCTAATGCGCTTCTACAAGCCCCGGGTAAGCGCCAGGGAGCGCTTCCTGACCTTCAAGGCCCTGAATCAGAGCAACACGCCACTGCTCAGGTAAGAATAGAGGCCAGTGGGGGTGCTGTGGCCATTAACCTGGTGATAGAGAGAGGTGGCTGCAGAGAAACTTGCTTTTCCTCTCAGAGCTTCTTACACATGCAGACTGTATTCATCAGGATTTTCCCTGCAAGCCACAAAAGCCCAGCTCCCACCTACTTTGGGTAGGCTTGAAAAAACATGAACTGGACCAGCACAACTGCTTTTCCCCTAGCCCCATGTGAAGATAGCACACACTCACAGCTCAGGACAGAGCCTGAGGTCTCCCAGGATATGACTGGCCCTCCAGGCTGCTGAGGACCAGAAAAGAGCAGCTCCCTGGAGACCGGGGAGGTGACAGCAAGTGAGCTGTGTTTGGGCTGAGCTCACACCCTGGTTGTTCTCCAGAGGCCTCAGCTGAAAGAGGCTGAGATTCAGTCCAAGAGCTGTAATGCTCCAAGACTGCCTCTCCAGGGGATGGGAACTGTCACAATCAGTGTGGACTAAATGGATTGAATAACCCTAGTCCCTTGAGGACAGAGGCGATCAGGACACTACAGACAAGGCCCCTGGATGCTGCGATGCTGGGACCCACAACACAGGCAGGCCAGTGAGGGCAGAAGCTCGGTGGAATGGGCAGTGATTTCTCTTCTCCTCTTGTTTGTGACAGCCTGAAGGACTTCTATGACATCTATGAAGTTACTACGCTGAAGTGGAAGGTGCGTGTTCCTGTGAGCCCCAAGGGCAGGGTGGCCCTGGTGGGAGAGGGGGATGACCACTGAGGCCCAGTTCCATCACTTGGAAACAACTCCTGCTGTCACGGGAGCAGGGACCTCAGGGACAGCACAGCCTTGCCCCCATCGCCCTCATGTTATGAGGTGGTCTTATGGTTAAGAGCACCGGATCTCAGCTAGATGTCAGGCAGGAGACTGAACCTTCCCAATACTTCTCAGGGAGACAGGAGGACGGAAATCCCCGCCTATACTGACTTCAGGATTGAAGATGCAGCCAGCACACTGAATGCTTAGCCATGTTGTCACCTCAATCCCTGAGCATAGCAAGCAGGGAAGCAGACCAGCACCCAAGGGTTACATTTTGGATCTTGGCACTGACACCCTGTCTCCTGTTCCCTTGCAGGCAAAGAGAAACAGGGAGCATTGGTTTGATGAACTTCCCAGGACAGCCTTCCTCATCTTCAAAGGTGAGCTTGGCCTGACCTGCAGCTCAGCTGCTGCACCTGGAGCCTTCCTGTTCACTGTGCGTGCGTGCGTGCGCGCGTGTGCGTGCGCGTGTGTGCGTGCATGCGTGTGTGCGCGCGTGTGCGTGCGTGTGTGCGTGTATGCGTGTGTGCGTGCATGCGTGCGTGTGCGTGTGTGTGCGCGTTGTGCGTGTGCGCGTGCGTGTGTGTGCGCGTGCGTGCGTGTGCGTGTGCGTGCGTGCGCGTGTGTGTGCGTGCGTGTGCGTGTGCGTGCGTGTGCGTGTGTGTAAAAGTGGCAGGGTGTGATTACCTGAGAAGGGAAGAATCCTGATCAGTAACTTAAAAACCAGGGTTGGGGCAGGGTGAGATGGCTCAGGCCTGTAATCCCAGCACTTAGAAGGCAGAGACAGGAAAATCATAAGCTCGAGGCCAGCCTGGGCTTCAAAACAAAAAATTTTAAATTAGGTGCTCATGTTATTTATCTAAGTTACCCCTTAGTTCAGAACCAGTGTTTAAGGTCCATGTGGAGGTATGTTTGGCCCCCAAGGAATTTCTGTTTTCCTTTTTCCCCCAAGCTGGGCCCTTGGGTGTGGCTTTTACTGCATGTTCATTGTGCTGAGATACTGGTTACTGGAGCGAATGCATAAATAGTCCCAGACTGAGGCGACTGCAGAGTACATTTCAGCAGTGATCAGCACAGCTTCTCTCTGCTCCTTATTGGCTCTGGTTGTCCAGGCCTTCCCCAGAGCAGCTGTGGTGTGAGCTGGACGTGAGTGTCACTCTTAGGCAGGCCCTTCCTGTTTCACTCGCAGGCAGCGGTGCCCTGAAGTACATGGTAGGGGAATATACTCTTGTAAATGAAATTTCCTTTTAACCTTTCTTCTCTTCAAACAGGGATCAATATCCTGGTGAAGTCCAATGCCTTCCAGTACTTCATGTGTAAGTGTGAAGTGTCACAGCTCTCAGTCCCTTTCTCCTGAGTACTTTGCCCCCTAAGAAGATAGAGAAGTGAGAGATCCTGTAGTCATGGTTTTGACTTGGAAGGTAGCTTAGTGATAGAGCTTGTGGTTAGCACGTGTGGTCCTAACCCCAGGACCACGAAAAAAAAAAAGATGGAAGGAAGGAAAGGAGCAGAGAAAGAAAGAAAAAGAGAAAAGAAGGGAGGGGAGGAGAGAGGGAAAGAAAGAATCCAAGCCTGTGTGGAAGTAGCTGTCAACTTCCTGCACATCTAGATCCTCCAGCTCCCCCTTCTCTACATCTGCAGCTCTTGAAAACACATTCCAGAACCACAGAGCATGACCCATGGATGTGCTCCTGGAGTCTGTTTTAGCCCACAGTTTCTCTTACATCACTTTCCTCCCTCTTTTAATAGTGAGTTGAGGAAATGAGATGATTTGTCCTTGGTCTTGGTTTGGCGTGTTTCTCTGTGCATATTTCCTGTAATTTGGTAGTTACATCAAGAGCCGTGATGTCCTATGTGGTCGCCACTAGCCACATGTGACTGTTTACATTTAAACTAATTCAAAATAAAAATGTAGTTACCTATAACATTTCAGGTGCTCGATAGCCACAAATGGCTAATGACCACCAACAGACAATACAGATAAGAAAATTTCTAGTCGCAGGAAACCCCACAGACTACTAGTGCAAAGGCTCATAAGATTCAGTCTTTCTAAGAAGTGGGAAGTCAGAAAAAAAGAATGGCTGGGGCCATGGCTCCAGTGGTAGAGCAGAGGCCCTAAGTTCAAACTCCAGTACCACCTAAATAAATAGAATGTATAAAGAACTTTCAAAACTCAGCATTATAAAAACAATTAAATCAGAAAATGGACAGAAGACAAGAACAGGTATTTTACACAAGAGGACACACATTGCTGCCAGTGGCTCATGACCATAATCCCGACTACTTGGGAGGCCAAGAAAATAGTTCCTAAGACCCCATCTCCAAAATAACCAGAGCAAAATAGACTGGAGGTGTGGCTCAAGTGATAGAGTGCAGTCTTGAGTTCGAACCCTGAGTTCAAACCTCAGTTCCACCAAAAAAAATAAGTAAAAAACAAAACCAAGGACTGGGAAGTGGTGGGTGGGGGTTGCTTGTTTTGCAGTATTGCACTTTGAAATCAGAGCTTCTCGAGCCACATCTTCAGTCTGCAAGTGGCGTTTAGAACCCATAGTCCGAGGTGCTGGGGTGCTCATTGCTTGGGACTGGTTCTTGTTTCAGGGACTTGCCATAGACACAGCTAGGATTTTTCCCTTTTTAAAGATAACTATATTGTGTGTTCATCCTGATACTTCAAATTTAGGAGAAAAAGAGGCTGGTGGAGTAACTCAAGTGATATAGCACCTGCCTAGAAAGAATGAGGCCCTGAATTCAACTCCAAGTAACTGCAAAAAAAAGGGCGGGGGTGGAGGTGTGGCTCAAGCAGGCACCTAGCAACCACAGTCAGACCCTTGAGTTCAAACCCCGGTGCTGCCAAAAAAAAAAAATTAGGACTACAGGGTTTTTGCATAATATCAGTCTGACATATTGAGAGTCCCCGTCTTAAAATCTAAGTCCCCAACAACACCAGCACCATCACTCATTCGCTTTGCTCCACAGTCCCAGCAACTGCAGCACCATCCCAGTGACTCCCCACTTCCCTGACTTGGCTCCTCCGTGTGGGCATGTCCCCAACTGCTATACATTTATTATTCTATTTCTCTTCATCTTTGTTTTCCAGGATTGATTCTTTTTAAATTTTGTATCACATAGAATGCATAAACGGTTCTAAGTAAGAGCTGCAGAACCAAATGTATTCAAGGAAGTCTATCCCTGTCTCCTCCGTGCGGGTGATTTTATTATGGTTTACTCTGTTTTTTTTAACAATGAGAAGATGCACATATGTGCGTATCTCTCATCTTAAGTGAACAGTGGCATCCATTTGAGTTGTTCTCCATTAACAGAGTGTCCCGGAGATCACTCTGTGGTAATGTGCAGAGGTGGACCTCGTTTCTTTCTTGTGGTTGATGGTCTGCTGTTTCGTGAAGGCATCGTGGCCTATTCAGCTAGTCTTCTATTCATGACCACCTAGCTAGTGCTTCTGTGAACAGCTCAGATACAGCTTTTTATATTTTTGCAAGTGCTTTACTGGGACGGATCCCTAGAAAGGGGAATTGCTAGGCTAAAGGCTCAGTGCATACTCGATGTTGTTAAACAGTTCACGCAGTCATTTGAAAATCAGATACCTGCGAGGAACAAATGTTTTCACTATTCAAGCTCCTTTCCATCTTTTATGCCAACTTGGAATGGTCTGTACATCTCAACTGTACCCTACTCTAGAGGGCATTTTTAGAAAACATGTTTTCTAAGGGTTGATTTTGCTGCCTAGTAAGAGCACTGAGCAGAAAGAAGTTCCCCATCTGCTGGCTGTGTGGAGCAGTCCTGCTCCCATGCGTGCCCCAGAGCATTCCAGAAACTAACCAGGACTGCAGCTGTGGCTTATAGATTGCCAAGCCTGCCTATCCTGTCCCTCTCTCTTAACGGCTTGTCTATTTCAGATATGGTGGTGGCTGTCAACGGAGTATGGATCCTCGTGGAGACGTTCATGCTGAAAGGTGAGTTGCAGCTTAGGGCACCTCACCCTGAGTGGTGTACCAGGCTCATCTCGAGCTGCTGCCTCTGTCTTCCAGGTGGGAACTTCTTCTCCAAGCACGTGCCCTGGAGTTACCTGGTCTTTCTCACCAGTGAGTGTCTGAGTGGCTTAGCCGGGAGAACTGGATGTGCTTTAGTGTGCCACGGCTCCTCCCTTAAACAACCCAAAAGGAGCCGAGGAGAGATTTAGTCTGGCTCCACCTCACCCCACCCCATTTAAACTCCTCTATGGTTCTCACTGCCAGCAGCAGCCAGGCCATGTCCTGCTGTGATTCCCTGCCTGTCCCCACGTGGCCCTTCAGTCTTACCTCTACTGGTCTCACTGCCCTCCCTCCAGGCAGGGGAGAGAGCAGGGGAAGTTGCTGACTTGCCTCTTTCTGTCCACAGTCTACGGTGTGGAGCTGTTCCTGAAGGTAGCCGGCCTGGGCCCTGTGGAGTACCTGTCTTCCGGATGGAACCTGTAAGTGGACAGTGTGGTCCTGCCCCAGGGCAGAGATGCTCATACCAACCGTGAGTCCTCTCCCTGCATACACCCAATGGGTAAGCTGTTCTGGAGACATGGGTGAAAATTTAAGGACAGCAGATCTCGTCTACTTGCAGCAGGGTCAGGCTCTTATCTAACCCTCTGAGGCCACCCCTGCCAGTACTAGAAATGGCCCTGGAGGCTGCTGATCCTGCTGGCTCTTTCTGAATCATGAGGCTATTTTCTCCATTAAACCATGCTGCTATAGAGAAGGTCCCCCCATCTCCATCGGCTGACAATAAAGAGAACCACGTGGTCCTTCTCCCCATCCACTGTGGCTTGGCAGGTCACATACTTCTCATCAAAGTGGACTCACCTGTGAAATCAGGCCACATTCACTAAGTCTTGAGACACAGAAGAGTTCAGAAGATGAATAAGAAATGCAGGTGCTGGGGAGTGTGTCTCTCACGGGCCAGGATCATTTGAGGCCAGCCTGTGCAATAGCAAGTCCCCACTTCAAAAAAAAAAAAAGAAGGGCTGGGAGTGTAGCTCATTGGTAGAGCGTGTGTGTAGCATGTGCAAGGCCCCAGGTTCCAGCCCCAGCACTGCAAGAGAAAGCAGTATGGTAATGACCAAGCCTTGTCTACAGAAAAGGCCTCTGCTCTGTGCCCCAGGGGAATCTCACCGAAAGTACTGCCCTTTTCCCTTACTTCCTCGGGGTTAAGGGACCCAGTATAACTAGACGTCTGGGGTCTGCAGAAACTGGGGCTTCTGCTCTCTGTTGTTAGACCAGGCAGGACTTCCAGGGGTGGTTCTGGGCATTTGTGTTCCTGGGGTCAGCACATTAAGGCCTGATCCCCCAGACCTGCATTATGACTGAGGCCTGGCCTGGTTATATCAGAGGCCGCAAGGGGGCAGGAACGTGCTCTGGAGCCAGCCAGGGGTGGGCCATTACCCACTTTGATCTTGCTGTGGCTGGCATTTGGCCTGTGTGGAAGCTGGCTGAGAGCAGGGCTGGGAGAGCAGGCAGTGGAGGGGGACCTGGGGGGTGGGGGGGCACTAATAAACTGTGGCTGCTCCCCCTACCCCTAGATTCGACTTCTCTGTCACAGCCTTCGCCTTCCTGGGACTGCTGGCTCTGGCCCTCAACATGGAGCCCTTCTATTTCATAGTGGTTCTGCGTCCCCTCCAGCTGCTGAGGTGATGGGCAGGGCTTGGGTGGGGAAGAGGGAGGCAGGAAAGCTGGGATTGGTTTGGGAAGCCACCAGAGCTAGCGAGGGGACCCACGAGCTAGAGTCATAGATGTAGCAGCCCTGCAGAAGCCACCCAAGCAGGGCCATTGTCTTTCCCGAAGGTGTGTGGGCTGCATGCCTCCTTGCTCACCGGCATCGGCATCTGATGGGGCTGTCCCTGTCCCATGCCATGCTCATGAGTCATGGGGGAAGCAGGCTCAGGTGGAGGAGGCCCTCGCTTGTCTCCCCACGTGGGCATGGAGGGCAGGGAGTCCACATGTCTGAGGGAGGAGGCAGGCCCTCTCCCTACGACTCAGACCCAGTGTTCTTTGTTGCTCAGGTTGTTTAAATTGAAGAAGCGTTACCGCAATGTTCTGGACACCATGTTTGAGCTTCTGCCACGGATGGCCAGGTACTGCCCGCCTCTCAGGGTGCAGGTTCAGGTGACATGAGACCTATACCCAAAGGGGCCGGGGCCAGGTGGTAGAGGGGGCAAGGAAGAGTCCCCAGGAAGACTGGATCAGGGTCTGGTGGGCCTCCAGGGTGCTGAACCTGACCACACGGATCACTTTTCTCTACTGGTCTGCCTGAGCTATCTAGTCAGCTCACCACCTGTGTCTACACTCACAGGTAAGGGTCACCTGTGAGTCTGCCTTCACAGGTGAGGGGCAAATCTCTGGTCAAGGGGTGTCTCCTCCTAGCATCCTGAACCGAGCTGGCCCCGCCCCAGTGTGAGCACGAGGCCCCTTGCCGGCAGGCACTGTCTAGTGGTAACCTGGTGAGGGCTAGGGGCATGCCTGCACTGCAGCCAGTGCAGGGTCTGAGGCTAGCCACAGCCATGGCTGCCGACCACCTCACCCTGACTCTGACCCCTCTCCCCAGCCTCGGCCTCACACTGCTCATCTTCTACTACTCCTTCGCCATCGTGGGTATGGAATTCTTCTGTGGCCTTCTCTACCCCAACTGCTGCAAGTGAGTGGCCAGCTCCCGGAGTGCACCTCTCCACCCGCAGCACCTCCACAACCCTGGGGTCACCTGGTTCTGCTCTTGGGCTCAGCACAGCAGGGGTTGTGGGGGGCCAGGGCTCAGGGCAGCAAACGTGAGAGTACCTAGCCCCAGCCAGCTCTATACCTCATCTGCCCACCCTTTCTAGAACCAGAGTAGGCCAAGTCCCACGGCTTCTGCCCACTTCTGTCTGGGAGAGGCCTGGAACCTGCAAGAGACAAGTCTTCTCACATGACCTGTTAAGAAAACAGACAGACATATGGCAGGAAGAGCGTGGGGCTCAATACGGAGTGCAGGAGCAAACCTTCCCAGCACCTTCACTCCTCCTCCCTTCCTGAACCATCGTAGAAAAATGTGCTCTGCCATCAGTCTCCTTCAGCATCACCTTGGACCAAATAGGGTGGCCTTGAGCACTGACATAGTGACATTGGACCCTGGTGCTGAGTGTGGGCCAGAGCCCATAGCAGCAGTCACCAGAGTGCTTGTCCTGGCTTCCCTAAGTGGCTGCTGTAGGATGTTAGACATTGGCTCAGGCCTCCAACCTTCTAAATAAGCCCGAAGACTCAGGCACTGAGCGCTGGAAATGGTGACATGGATTTTAGAGAACAACATAAAGGATGGGCGGGAGACACCAGACATGAGAGCACATGCCTGTAATCCCAGCACTAGGGAAGCCGAGCTGAGCATGACTCCACTCTAGGGACAAGGCCTCCCTGTCCTAGGGCTGTAATGATGTCCCTAGACTGTTAGGGACATGCAGAGGAGGGCTCCATCCTTCTCTGGTGGGAAGCTCTGAGAGGGAAGCCTCACTAGCTGCAGAGAGACCCCAGGAGCTGGCAGGTGGGGCAGGAGCCCAGGGTCACAGGCAGGAGCAGGGAGGGCCCCGGCCAGGATAGAAAGCCTCAGCCTACATGCTTGTCGTGGAGGTGGCCAGGCCTCTTGTGACCCTTCGCCCCCTCGTCTCCCCACAGCACCAGTACAGTGGCAGACGCCTACCGCTGGCTCAACCACACGGTCGGGAACAGGACAGTGGTGGAGGAGGGTTACTACTACCTCAGCAACTTCGACAACATTCTCCGCAGCTTCGGTGAGGCAGGGCCGCCAGAGCGCCACTCCCAGCCGGGCTGCCTTGGCCTATGGGTCCGGGTGGCTCGGCAGAGCTGTGTGAGGCCCCTCTCGAGTTCTGGCCCCCTTGCTGGGGCCCCTGTTTTATCAAGTGCTTCTTCATGCCCAAGCTGGGTTGCAGCCTGGCAATAGCTTGGGGCACCCTTTATCACAATGCCAGTTGCAGGGCACCCAGCCACACCAGTGCTGCCACAATGTCCTAACTCAGCTGAGGCCTCCCCAGCTCCACTCTGCCCTCAGTTCCATAGGTAAGCCTGGAGGTAGAGGGACGTGGTCCTGCCAGTCAGTGTCTCCACAGGAAGAGGGGCCCCTGGTGACCCCAGACCTGCACACAGTACAGTTTTGGTGCTGTTTTCCCCAAGACCAGCCAGCCGTGGTCTGTCTTTGGCTGCTGGGGTGTAGAGGATGCGCCCTTCTAGGGACAGGCCGGCCATTGTGGCCAAGGTGGCAGGACTCCCTGTGGCACTGGCCCTCCCTGAAGCCAGAGCCAGGCAGGCATGTGATGACTGCTGTGCAGCACATGGTGCCCAGAAGAGGTGGAAGGAGGCCTTGACGCTGACCTGAAGGACTGGGTCTGACCAGGACCTCTCTGTCTGCCCTCGCTCCACAGTGACCTTGTTCGAGCTCACAGTTGTGAACAACTGGTACATCATCATGGTGAGGACACTGGCCAGCCCCAGTGCCCCAGTGCCCCTCCCCTGGCCTCCCTTCCAGGATCTCAAAGCTAGGGTCCTGTGGGCCACTGCACTGGGCTCTGCAGGGAGGCTGTGGTGCGGGTGCCCCCTTCAGGTCTGCTCTACTTGGCAATTTCCATTTATCCACACACTCCCCTGGCAGCCAGAGATGGCATCAGCCTCTGGAGCTCTGACCTGTCTCCCGCCACACAGAGACAGTTGTCCAGTTAAATAACACTTCTGACACTTGGGCCAAGGCAGGAGGATCACAAATTTGAGGCCAATCTGGGCTAAATAGAGAGATCCTATCTCCCACCCACCCACCCCCTGCAAAAAAAAAAAAAGAAAAAGAAAGTGTGGCTTGCCATGTATGGTGGTATACACCTGTAGTCCCAGCTACTTGGGAGGTTGAGGCAGGAGAATTGTTTGAGCCCACGAGTTCGAGGCCAGCCTGAACTACATAGTGAGATCCCATCTCTAAAACAGAAACTGTGTGGCAAGTGCTGGTGGTTTTTTCCCTTTCCTTCAACTTTCCTGCATCTGTCCTCCATGGGATAAAGACAAACTGTGCTGGCCTGGCTGCTGCCAACCAGCCTAGAGATGGACTAGGGCTCATGTGCCAGAAAGGAACATTTAGACCCAGTCAAGCATGGCCCTCTCCTGCCCCCACATCCACAGATAAGGAAGGGTCTGTAAGGAGTGGGTGATACCTGGCTTGGGACTTGGACCTGGGCTGTGGAACAGCCTGACTTAGACAGCATCTGGTGCCATATCCAAGCTTACTCACTGCCCACCCCCTCTTCTCCAGGAAGGCGTCACTTCTCAGACCTCCCACTGGAGCCGCCTCTACTTCATGACCTTTTACATCGTAACCATGGTAGGTGCCAGCACAGCACCCTCTTCCTCTTCGAAAAGGGGTCAGGGTCACTCATCTGCCAGGCTCTGACAACATGCCCTCCTTCCATCCTGGCCAGGTGGTGATGACTATCATCGTGGCCTTCATCCTAGAGGCCTTCGTCTTCCGAATGAACTACAGCCGCAAGAACCAGGACTCTGAAGGTCTGTGTGGGGCATCCCACCTTGGGCATTTGCTGCCCTCTGTCTGGTGTCCAGCTGTTCATCCAACTGTCAGCTTTTTGGCTGCCTGGTTGTCTAGCCACTGGTGGTCCAGCTTATCCATCTGGCTTGTCTGTCTCAATCTCTTCTTTGTATTGATTGTCAAGTATTAGGAAAAGAAATAAAGGAATAAAATAGCACGGGTCATTGAAGGATGGAGCAGAGAAGGTTCATTGCAGAAGCAGCCTCCCTCCGTCCTCCTTTTCCCCACCCTCTCCCAAACTGAACAGAAGCCACAGCAAGAGTGCACAAGGGCTGGAGAAGAATTGGCGAAAGACAGGACGGGGTTTCTTGTTAGTAATGGTCACATTCCTGACAGTGTGCTCACCTGACTACCGTTCTTGGCACTGTTCTTGGCAGGAGCAGACTTCCTTCTGCCCTTCATGGGCCTGGCTGTGTATTTGCCATGCTGTTTCTTGGTTGCCTTCTGCATACCAACCCTTCATGCTATTCAAGATCTGCCACCAAATTGCCACACACCTGTTACTACTTGTTCTCAAGTCTCTGTGGTGTCAGGCTATCTGACTTGTTTTTGAGACGGTTTCTACATGTAGCCCAGGCTGGCCTTGTACTTGTGATCCTCCTGCCTTAGGCTCTCAGCGCTGTCTGACCCTTTTCTTCCCAGTGAGTGGCAGGAGGGATCCCCGGGTGTGGGGCAGAGCCAGCATTTGCTTAGAGAGGGAACCTCATGACCCTGCAGAGGGCTGTAGTAATTGGCATTGGAACCTGGGCTGCTTCCCACCCCTGCCTCCCTGCAGATGACGGTGGCATCACCCTTGAGAAGGAAGTCTCCAAAGAAGAGCTGCTTGCTGTCCTAGAGCTCTACCGGGAGGTGCGAGGGGCGTCCTCTGACGTCACCCGGCTGCTCGAGACTCTCGCACAGATGGAGAGACACCAGGTAAGAGGTCACAAACCTCATGCCAGGGAGGGGCAGGCTTTGATATAACTCAATCCGTCCTGCTGCATGTTGGTGACCCTCTTGATTGGTGCCCTTGCAAACACCAGTGGGGTGGAGGAGGCTGCTGTGGGGCTGCAGGGCCCTGCTGTGGGTGGGCCCTGTGCCATGTGCATGCACGCCCAACAGCCTCTGCTCTTCTTCAGCAAAATTCCCTGGTGTTTCTGGGACGGAGATCAAGGACCAAAAGTGACCTGAGCCTGAAGATGTACCAGGAGGAGATCCAGGTAGGAGCCTGGCTGTCACTCTGGAAGGGGTCCCCATCCCTGTCCCATTCCCATCCATGTGAGGGCAACAGGTCTTCACCTCAGATGGTACTGGGGTCAGATGCTCAAGGGCACACACTCGGGGCATTTGGAGAGATGGTCCCACTCTCATCCTCTGCCCCTGCCTGCCTAACTGCCTCAGTTTCCCTTTCTGTTAACGAGGGGCACAGCAGTGGGCAGACTGGGGTATTCTTCCAGCTCTGGAAGTCTGTGGTTCATGTTCTTCAAACATGGGAAACATTTTAACTTCCTCTTTACCAATGGTCACGAATGCCTCAGTGTCTGAACACATCTGACATTACCATAGCGATGGGCCTGGGTGGGTAAAGTAAGCGTTTGGCTTTTTCAAAGGCCTTGGCAGCCCTTAGAGGGGGCAAGTGCAGTGTGGGAGTCGGAGGAGACATTTGGATTCACACAGCTTCTGTACCCAGGTTTTCTGGGGTGTAGAACTCATGGGGGAATTGCTTTGTGACTACCATGGACACAAACACAGGACAAGCCACATTACTGCCTGGGCCTCAGGTAGAGATGACATGTGCCCGCACACTTCGTGGCAAGTTGCCTAGTCCTAGTTAATAAGTAAGAAGAGGTTCCTGGTGGCTTTTCTGTTGGCCATACTCAGAACCCCTGCAGGCCCTGTGTGAAGATTCACCCTTATGGGAGGGCTGGTGGCTCTGCCCCTCTGCCCTCAGCACTGCCTGCCTCTGCTCTAGGAGTGGTACGAGGAGCATGCCCGGGAGCAGGAGGAGCTGCGGCAGCTCAGCAGCCACGTCGCCGCCCCCACCCAGCAGCCCCCCAGCAGCCGCCAGCGCTCCCAGACTGTCACCTAGCCCCAGCTCACCAAGACTTCTCTTCTATGCAATGATTCATTAGTATTATGTCATGCAACGTATTGAGATGATGTGTGCGCACATGCTCAGATGTACGCACAGATTTATCCAGAGGAAGGAAGGAAGACTAGCTGGGGTCAGTGGAACCGCCTCACCCTGTCTTCCTGAACTCCAGCAGTCACGGTCGGCTTGGGCCAGGGGATGGGGCCAGGCTGAGCTTCCTCCTGTGGAAAGCTCCAGAAGCCCTCTTCTCAAGAAGCCCCTGGAGTAGATCATACCATCTCTGCGGCCCTGCCTGCCTGCTGCTGCCGCGCTGTCCTTGGGCTCTGTCCCACAGCGTCCCCACTAACTCCCTCGCGGCCTTGTCACAGATGTCTGTGTCTGCCCTTAGGGACAAAACCACTTAGGAAGAAAAGAACCCAAAAATCCCAGGGTGGCATTTATAGATGCTAATGTGCTAGAATTTGCCTTCTGGGTTCAGTGTCTAGGATAATGGAGAGTGTGATGGAGGGTGAGGTCACACCTGTGGCCAGATCTCAGTTGCTCAGTGCTGGGAGCAGGATGTGGCACTGACCAGTCTCAGTTTCTGCCTCCAGAAGTCACCTCTCCCCACTACTGCAGCTCAGCTCTTGTTGGAACTCCCTCCACAATGGCCTCCTGCAGAATCCAAGCTGTGGCTCCCAGATGGGCTTTCTCCATCAGGTCCTTCTCTTGTGACTTAGCCTGTTCCGGCAAAGGGACGTTTGGGTGAATCGGGCTGAGGACACACATGCTTTAGGTGCTGCTGGGAACAGGAGCAGACAGCGTGGAGACCCTCACTGGCCATCAAAGCAGTCCCAGGCCCCGCCAGCCTAGTGCACACCTATCTTGGGCAGCCACTGTCCCTAAACTGGGTTCAGGGAAGAGCTCAAGGCAGACAGTCAGCTAGCCACCTTCCCTGTGCCTTGGAGTTACCTGAGACCCCTGCAAGGCTGAGATAGGGTGGATCGCAACTGAGGGGAGTGGAGGTGGTGACAGTGGTGGTCTCCACTTTGTCCTCAGCATTCCAGTCTCCCACCTCCTCTGCCACTTCCTGGGACTGGGGTGGGTGGACAGTGGCCCCCCCTCGTCCTCTGTTTTCATTTTCAGTAAAATCCAGCCCTTTGGGGGAAGCAGTGCATTACTGAGAACCACTGATTTTCTGCATGTCAGGAGACAGCACTGTCCCCTTCACCCCCAGAGGGCCAACCACTGTCACAGGAGCTCAGCATTGACCCCAGGCCAGAGCCCTTCTCTCTGGAGAAGACACTATTTGCACAACTGGGTGCCTTTAGCTTTGTGTATTTGAATGGGCATTTTGGAAGCAGGAAGAGGGCAGCTTCTAATGGAGGGTGTGGGTCTTCTCCCTGAGCCCCTGGGCCCCTTCCAGTCCCTTCTCCCCAGGGGTTGTGAGAGCCCTATGGCCCAGCAGAGTGGGGCACAGACTCCAGCCAGTCATCTACAGAGGACATCCATCCTCACAGTGTCACCAGTGGTCCTGTCAACTTGACCCTTAAGCTTGCCCATCAAGCTGGGAGCAGGTGTCACCCCTGGCTGGCTGTGAGCTCTGAGGGCCCCCAGGTCTCCGTCTAGCCCAGATGCCCCTCACCCCCACATCACAGCTCAATGGGACCAGGTAACATTCCCTGATGATCCCATGTCACAGCCTGTTGGGGTGTCAGTGGCACTGTGCCCCCACCCCAATTAGACGAAGGCGCCCAGGGGTGCCACCTGGCCCCTCCTCCTAGCTTCCCCTTCCACCCAAGCCTTACTCCACACCACACGGACAATCATTTTGTATGGATCGCAGGAGCAGCCCTGTAAAGTTTTGTACATTGCAATTTGTTACCTAGATCCACTACGTGCGGATCGCTGGCATATTAATAAAAGAGCCTCTGCTTTGTACACCTGGCTGCTGCCTCTTGGCTTTGGTTTGCAGGGAGTGGGAGGGAGGTTCCCACTATAGTCATTACTGACTCCTCGTCATCCCCACCCAGCCTAGCCAAGGAGCCTGCCAGGTTAAGTAAGAAGTAACTGATAAAAGTCAGCAATGCTGCTTCCTGTGTACGTGCATTGAATCTTTTTTGCTTGGAAAAAAGACAGCTGAACCCCTTTTCCTTCCTAACAGCAGAAGGCAGTCGGTCAAACAATGCTTATTGAAAAGCAAGGCGGGGTAACCCTGGCGGCAAGCAGGCCCCTGGGGTTCTTCCTGTCCCCAGAGCTCGCAGTGACTTGACCGCCCAGGCCCCCACTGAAGTAGGCGCACAGCCCAGCCTGGCTCCAGTTTTGTACCTGGGGGACCTGGGGCTCTGCATGCAGTTCTAGATCTGAGGCCAAGGCCACTGTCCAACACAGTAACCACTCGTGGCAGGGCCATGCAGAGGGGTTTTTGAGCCACTGGGCTCAATAACATGCTACCATGTTTTGCCTGCCTTGGTTTTATTAATGCAGCAACTAGGGAACTACGTCAGGTACAGCCCAAGTACTGCTTGCATCGATGGTGCAGCTCCATCGCTCGCTCTCAGCCCTTGGCAGTCACTCAGGGCAGTGGGGGGCCTCAGAAGTGCAGTGTGGCCTGAAGCCCGGCAGGGGAGACTGGGCAGGGCCTCCCTCCAGGTGCCTGGAGCCCTGACCGGACCCAGCCCCTCGCCCCATCCCAGCTCATCTCACGCTGCATCACTCCAGGTCCTCCAGCTTCTGTCTGGAACTGTCTCCAGCAAAGTCCCAGCACCAAGGCTGCTGGGTGCCGGGCAGTTCTCAGCTGCTGACCTCACACAGTAGCCACTCCGGAGCTCTGTTAGCCAGCACTCCAGTGGGAGCCATGTGGGGTCTGCCGAAAGTGCCCATATCCGGGTCTCCCCTCAATGCCACCTGCACACCCATAGGCGGCTTTGGTCACAAACTTTTCAGGTGAATCACCCCAAATTCCGTGAGTAGGGCCACGACAAGGAAGCTGACGTAGAAGAAGAGCAGACAGAAGCCGTAGCCCTTGCTCAGTTGGAAGCACTGCAGTGGTACTGAGAGCAAGGAGAAGACAAGGCTGAGTCCCAGGGCACCAGCCAAGACCCACACCAGCAGTCCGTCTGGCTCCAGCTGCAGGAAGAACAGAAAAGACTGACTCGCTGCCCATCACAACCCTGTCCCAACTGTCAGGGATGCAGGGTCCTCCCTTGAAGTACCCCAGATGTAACCCCAGAAGCTTCCAGACTCAAAAGCGGCAGAGAAAATGAACCTTGCTTGCCAACTTCCAGCCCCACCTGCCTGGCTGTTCTCTGAGTTCTTGTTCATGACAGACTCAGACCGAGGCCCGTCACTTGTGAAGTACATCAGAAAATAGGTGGATGGATGGACAGACAGATGAGCAGATGGATAAAGCAAATGCAGCAAGATGCTAGGCACAGTTGGAGAGATGTCAAAAAAAATCACTGTGCAAGCCTTCCCACAATTCTGTGCATGAATTTTCATAATACAATGGAGTCTTTGTAAGGTATTTAAATGGTAGTGTTCTCTCTCTCTCTCTGTGTGTGTGTGTGTGTGTGTGTGTGTGTGTGTGTGTGTTTATTTAGTGCTTAATGCACAGGCTTTGTCTTGCTTGATCCAAGAGAAGCACAGGTAGTCCCCAAACTTATGATTTTTCAATGTTACCATAGTATGAACACGGCAATCATTCAATAGAAACTGTACTTCGAAATTTGGGTTTTGATCTTGTCCTTATCCTTTTGAGACACTGGACAGTGGTAGCCAGTACAGCTCCCTTCAGCCACAGAGTCACGAGGGGGCAGCTGGCAGTCTCAGAGGACCGGGTAGCTCAGCCATGGTGTTCAGTAGGCTAGAGGCACTCAGTGCATTCCTGGTGTACGACATCTCCCGCCTAACCACGGGCGCACCAGGACGTAAGCCATCATAGGTGAGGGAGCACCTGTACTGCCTGGCAGGAAATATGACCCCACTTACAGGTGAGACTGAGAGACTGGCTAACGCGTCCAAGGCACTCAGCAACACTGGGCTGGAGCCCAGGCCAACTCAAGGCCTCCCCTGGGTCAAGGAAGGAGAGAATGGGTGGCAGAATAAGAGATGGAGTGACACAGGCAAAAACGAACAGGAGCCAAGGAGTCAGATAGAAAACCAGCTCCCGCTTCCCCCGTGCCATGGGAGAGATGCTGGCACCAGTTTCAGGACCCTAGGATTGGGAGCTGAGAGGAGGGGATGGAAGACTCCAGGGCATGGTATATATGTAGCCAGCTGCATGGATCTCTGCCCCAAGTTCATGTGCATTCAGAAACTCAGAATGTGACTACCTGAAATAATGTCTTAGGAAAGGATCTCCAGATGAGGCCATCCTGGACTTAGAATATAGCCCCTAAATCCACTGACCGGAGACCCTGGTAGACGAGGACCCAGAGACAGGCAGAGACTGGAGTGATGCTGCCACAAGCCAAAGGAACACAGGAGCCACCAGAAGCTGGGAGAGGCGAAGAGCCTGGGAGCCTGCAGAGCCAGGCTGACAATGTGACGCTGGGCTTCTGGCCTCCAAACAGCAAGAGAATAAGTTTCTTTTGTTCACAGTCATGTGTACGTGACTCCTTCATGACCGTTTGTTGTGTTGGCCCCCGGGGATCCAACACGATGCGATGTGTGTTTGTGTGTAAATGTGCAGCTGTTGAAAATTTTCCAAGCCATTCAGAAAAGTAAAAGAAAGTGAAACTGCCCCCTTCTCACTTCTCTTTCTTCCAACACAGACTGAAGGTGTGACAGCAGGTACCATGCTGGGCAGCTCCACAGGCCAGAGCCCAAGCCTGTTATTTTCCAGTCACCTCTGAAAGTGGCATTGTTAACATTAGTCCACAGGTGAGGAAACAGAGTAATTAGCAGTGGAGGCCAAACCCTTAACCACCCAATACCCTGTCCTGCCCCCAGGCAGGTGACAGGCACACGGTGTGGATACACACATTGTACACTGACTGTGTACACCAGTTTCAAAAACGAATGGGATCACAGAAGAGGTTAAGTAAAGTCAGGCTCAGTAGTGCACACCTGTAGTCCCAGCTACTGGGAGTCAGGCTCAGTAGTGCACACCTGTAGTCCCAGCAACTGGGAGGCTGAGGACATCTGCTCATGCTGGCATGTCTCAAGTCTTACACAATTTGGTGGCAAGCGTGTTTCTAAACTGCACAAAGGCAGGAATGGGGGAGCTCGCGCAGGGACACACCCCCACAAAAACGCATGCACATACACACTCACGCAGCCACAGGTTCCTGGGGGCAGCAATCCTAAAGCCAAGTTATTTGAAACTGCCTAAGAATTCATAATGAAAAAGGGCCGATTTAGTGCAGAATGTCAAAAGCCATTTGCAGAGCGGTTACCTTTCAGAAAAACAAACTTTCAGACCCCAGATAGCTACTTGCTATCTGGTGTGACCAGCCTTGTGCAAGTCAGCTGCCTGGGAGGAGAGGCGGTGACTGCCATCTTTCAGCTCCCAGCATTCAAAGTGCTTCCACCTGGAGAGGCTTGGCCCCTCGCCAAGGCCACACCTCCTGCCTCTTCCCAACCATTTCCCTGTTTGATTCTCTGGACTAGAGTCCAGCAGAATGCAGACCCAGTGATGGGGACTCTTGCTTGCAGCCAGGAGGGGACACTGCCTTGCCCATGGTTGTTTGTCCCGAGAGACATTTTCAAATAGAAAGTTTACCTAGGCCTCTTGGCCTCTTCTTCCGTGGAAAATCTGGCCCCAATGGGCCACCTGAGTCCACCCCCATGAATGTGTTACCTGCCCTGGCGAGAGCAGTGTGGAAACCTGCATCAAGCCAGTTAAAAAAAGCAGATTCCTGGCTGGGGCGGAGCTCAGTGGTGCAGAGTGTGCTTACCACGTACAAGGCCTGGGTTCAACTCCCAGCACCCCGTAACAGAAATGCCCAGACCCCACTCCCGAAACAGGCCACGAGCAGGTCTCACGTGCCCCAGGAACCCATCATTCAGTGCGCGTTCCAGAAACTTCTCATCTGTTGGGCTCCCCTTTCCAGGACTTGAACTCAGGGCCTTCACTTTAAGCCACTCCACAAGCCCTTTTTTGTGAAGGGTTTTTTTTTGACATAGGGTCTCTCGAACTATGTGCCTGGACTGGCTTCAAAACCCCATCCTCCTGATCTCTGCCTCCTGAGCAGCTGGGATTACAGGCTGAGCCACTGGTGCCTGGCCTGGGGCACCTCTTATTCTCTCCTCCCAGCGGGTCCCCAGTGGGCAGTGTTGGAATCTGGTGTTCAGCCTGGTCTTCACCCCACACATGCATATCCAGGAACGCCAGGAGGAAAGGAAACTGAGGCTCAGAGATGTCCTAACTCAAAGTCACACAGCAAGAGACATAAGTGATGGGGCCTGAGCCTGAACCAGGGGCTTCCTGTCACTTCCTTCTAAGCTCTGTCTTAGTCGCTCTAGCAACTTGCAATATGTTTTCAACCCTGTCACAAAGTCAGACAAGTCCTCGTCCCGGAGTGTGACTTGCTGAGATGTGAATGGCTCTCACAAGAGGCCAGAACACTCCAGGGGCCCCGGGCAGAGGCCCTGGCCGCTCACCTTCACCTCTGCGTGGCTCCGCACAATCTGCAGCAGGCAGCCCAGCCCGACTCCCACGAGGATGTCTGCAGCCTGGCTCAGGAAGCAGTGTTGAACCCGCAGCTGGGACAGCCTCCCTCCCGCAGGCTCCGCCCGGGCTCAGACACCTTACCAAGAAGGGGCTCGGCTTTCTTCACCATCTGTGCCCACTGTGCCCACCCCAGATGGCCCCCAGATGCGCTGTCAGCACCTCTAAGAAGATGGGCAGGCTGGGCACCAGTGGCTCACACCTGTAATCCTAGCTACTCAGGAGGCAGAGATCAAGAGGATCACGGTTTGAGGCCAGCCTGGGAAAATAGCTCGAGAGACTCTATCTCCAAAAATCCAACGCAAAAAAAAAAAAGGGCAGGCAGAGTGGATCAAGTGGTAGAGCACCTGCCTAGTAAGTGTGAAGCCCTGAGTTCAAACCCCAGTACCCCAGTACCAACAAAAAAATAAAGACTGCACTCAGTCTACGAGGATTGAATGAGGTGTCAGAAGTGCTCAGCCCCTGTAAACACTCAGCAGATGCGAAACTGAGGGTGAGTGAGGCAAAATGACCTCCCCTCCCCTTGCCGCATCCCTTGGGGGAGCAGGGGATGGGCCAGAGGTCAAGGCCATCTCTAGGGATCATCAGGGATCCCTCCTTCCCACCCAATCTGACAGGTCAGGAGAGGCCACAGCTGGCATGCCAGAAGCTTGTCTCAGTGGGCCCAAAAGGGCCACCAAGGGCCCTATGTGGCCTGCAAGGGACAAACAGCAGGCATGTCCCCAGCTGCCCAGCAATCTGTCACCAGCCAGCTGCCTGCACTACAGCTCATCCGGGAGGCTGGGGACAGCTGCACGTCAGCAGCTGTTCAATCGTGTCACTTTGAGCCAGCCACACCTGAGGCTGACTGGCTGCCCGCCAGGTGCTAGGTGCCTCCCTGGGCCTTTGCCCTTTCACCTCAACCCCAGGCAGTGCAGTTCAGAGGATGTGGGTGAGGGCCTGTGCACAGGCCTGCAGCCACGGCTGGAACCAGGGCCCCGAATGGAACAGGGACCCCAAATGTCTGCATTCAAAGCCCTCCACCTCTGTATGTTTGCTTTTGAGCCAGGCTCTTGCTGTGTAGCCCGGGTTGAACGGGAACTCGTGATCTCCTGCCTCAGCCTCCCAAGTGCTGAGATTACAGACATGCTCTACCATGCCTGGCTGTCCCTGTCTTTTTTATAAACCAAGGTTGGCAAACAGCAGTCCTCTGGCCAAGCCTAGCCACAGCCTGCTTTGTAAATAAAATTTTATGGGAGCAGAGCCATGCCTGTCAGTTGGTGTTTTGTCTGCAGCTGTTTCTGGGTTGCCACATGGAGTGAGTCACTGCAAGAGACTGTGACCTACAGAGTCCAAAACGCGCTCCCTGGCCCTGTGGGAAAAAGCCTGCCGGTCCACCAGGACCTGTCCCTATAAACTCGAGGGAGGGGGCTTTCCAGGCACCTGAACTCATCATATGACACTGACTAACAAAGCCACCGCCCCAACAGCAATGGCAGCTGCCATCGCTAGGTGTTTGCCAGCGGCCGAGAATTTGTCACCTCACTTGATCCTACAGTGCTCTGGGAGGCTGGTCCTCTCCATGTCCCCATTAACAGATGAGGAACTGAGCCTCCTCCAGCAGCCACGCCTGCCACCTGCCGGGGTGCTACACGGGACAGCCCTCTAGGTCATCCCGAAGGGGTGCCCAGAGCACACGCTGGCTTCCAGTGCTGACGCCCAGGGCCGTCCACAAAGGATATTAAAGATGATGCCACCAAAACAGGCAGAGAAGGCCATCCGTGGGTAGCCCTGGCGGGCCAGGGTGAAATCCGAGAAGGCATCTGCACAGAAAGAGGGTAAGTCACTCACAGCTATTCGGTCAACAAACGCGGAGGAAGGCCCGCCAGGCCCAGCACTAGTTTGCTGGGTACTGGGGTGGGGGGCTCCACATCCTATAAGATAAGGCATACTTCCCTGTGCCATTACTTCTTTTACCCCATTCTTTCTCTCCAGCAGCAACTTTGGGGCTGTGATGCAACACCCTGCTATCACGGTTACCCAGGTCCCATGCTAGCACACTCGCCTGTGAGAATTAGGAAAAGGTGCCAAAGAGCTGAGGAAGGGGTTTTGCCCTCCAGCTGCCTTGCCTGGCTGCTCTTGCGCAGTGCAAAACCTGGGCAACCTCACATGGCTGCTGTGGCTAGACGAGTTTGTGTATGACGTGCGCTATCCACACAGACGTGAAGCACAGTTGGTGCAGCGTGTCCCCAGTCCTGCCCGAACCCTGGGAGCCATCGGGTGTCCAGGCACCAGGCACTGGGCGAGGTAGGAGCCTCTAGAGTGACAACTGAGGTCATCCCACCCTGATGTCCAGCAATGGTCACTCCAAAAGGACAGCAGGCACTGTGACGACCCCAGCACCGCCCCGGCCCGAGTCACCTCCGATGCTATTGCCCCAGGCCAGCAGCGTGAGTCCCAGCACGGTGTTGCTCAGCCTGAAGACGATGCCCAGAGACCGCAAGATGTTCACCACCTCTGTGGCGGCCGCGTTGATCCACAGGGCGCTGGTGAAGAAGCCCAGGAAAGCGAAGAGCTGCGGAGGGAGGGGGTCCTGGAGGACCTCGGCCAGCCCCACGGGGACATGGCCCAGGCCCCACAGTAACCTGGGATGACACGCCTACACCCCAGAGGTTACTGTGTGCAGTGAGCGCTTGCACACAGTAGGTGCTCGATAAAAGGTTAGCTCACACCGCGTTGTGTATGTGCATGGGGCTGTGCCTTGAACTCGGGGCCTACACCTGAAGCCACTCCACTCCACCAGCCCTTTTTTGTGATGGGTTTTTGAGATAGGGTCTTGAAAACTATTTGCCCAGGCTGGCTTCGAACCACGATCCTCCTGATCTCTATCTCCTGGGTAGCTGGAATTACAGGCGTGAGCCACTGGCACCTGACTTCATGATGCTTTGGGGAAAGGATTCAGCATGGCTTTCACCGTATTTCCAATCTATGAACCAAATGCCACCTGTCACGTCCTAAAGAAAGCTGCATCCGTTAGCGGCCCTCTCCCTCACTCCCACCCCGCCTACAGCCCTCGCTGCCCCTCTGCCTCTGCGGACTTGCCTGCTGTCAGAGGTCACGTCAGTGGAACCACTTGGTCCCTTGTAATGTCTGCTTTCACCAAGCGGAAGGTTTTCAGGGTCGTCTGTGTTGTCCTCTGCATCTCTACTCGGAAAGCTAGCCAGGATCCTGACTGAGTGACTGCACTGAAAATCCAGCCCCTTGGGTGGGTACACTTGTTTCATTTCATTAAAAAACTGCCAGGCACTAGTTGCTCATACTGTAATCCCAGCTACTCCAGAGGCGATCAGGAGGATTGCGGATCAAGGCCAGCCCAGGCAAATAGTTCTCAAGACAGAAAAAGGGCTGGTGGAGTGGCTCAAATGGTAAAGTGCCTGCCCAACAAGCATGAGGCCCTGAGTTCAAATCCCAGTACTGCCCTTGCTAAAAAAAAACTAAAAAAAAAAAATTGAGACAGTCTCCTATATAGCCCTCAAACTCATCCCAACTCAGACCTCCAAGTCTCCCAAGTGCTGGGATTACAGGCATGAGCCACCACACTCTGATCAATTTTCTTTTTGGTGGTACTGGGGTTCGAACTCGGGGTCTTGCACTTGGTAGGCAGTCGCTCTACCACTTGAGTCACTCTGCCAGCCTAATTTTTTTATTAGTAAGTATTAAAAATGAAAAACAAGTAAAAGTTTGAAGAAAACGTTTCTAGAAAAATTGCCTAAAAATGCCTTCGAGAGCTGGAGGCTGGAAAGAAAGGAAACGGGGACACAAAGATGACACTGCCCCACACTGCAACACGAGCCCCAGAAACCCACATGCTCCCTGTGCATGGAGCAGAAAACAGCTCCACGGTCCCTCCGAAAATTAAAGCCACTCGCCAACCGACTCAGCAATTCCACGCGAGGAATGTGTCCAAGGAAACAAACACATTTCTGCACAACAGTCCTTCCTCACTTCTACCCCAGTCCCAAGCACTCACTTTCTCTCTCTCTCTTTTGGTGGTATTGGGATTGGAACTCAGGACCTCACACTTGCTAGGCAGGCATGCTACCACTTGAGCTACTCCTCCAGCCCTTCTTGCTTTAGTTTTATTTCAAGTAGGGTCTCATGTTTTTACCGAGGGCCAACCTTAAACCACGAGCCTCCAACCTAGGCCTCCATGTAGCTAAGATCACAGGTGTGTCAGGGGGTGAACTGTATGGTATGTGACTTCATTTCAATGAAATAAATAATTGTATGGTGTGTGACCTCATTTCAATTAAATAAAGCCATTGCCCAAACAAGAAAAAACAAAAAGAATCCTCAATAAGTACAAAACCCCGAGTGGCTTAGGGTTCAGCACAGCTGACACAGTGCAGGCGATCGCTGGCCAAACAGCCTAGAGACTCACACAGCCCCTGCCCACCCCTCACCCCGTCCCCACGTTCTTCTGTCCCCCGAGTCCCCATGTCCCTCTCCAGTGGGCAGGGTGGGATTCTTACCCAGTGTAGTCTGGGGGGCTCACTGTTGGATGTGGCAAAAAAGGTCACCGAGGCCAGGGCTGTGCCCACGATTACTACCACGGCCCAGACGGGAAGGAGGCCACCGATCTCGTAGACACCATCTATGGGACAAGAAAGGGAAGCTGCGCTCTGTACCTCAGCTTGCACCTCCTCCCGGGGCCCCGAGAGGTGCGAGGGACAGAGGGACCCGAGGTGAGACGCTAGGATGAAACCCACGGAGATGGATTGTTTGGACATGAGGTGATGGTCCCTATGTGCCCAGTCCTGGCTGGCCTTTCAAGAAGACAGAAAAATTAGAGAAAAAGGACAGATGGACTGGGAGTGGCTCAAGCAGTAGAGCATCTGTTTGCAAACCCCAGTTCCACCGAAAAAAAAAAAAATGCCATTAAGGACAGACATGGAAAAGGGACTCTCTCCACCTCCCTCCCCCACCTCCATGTCAGACATAGCACCAGTCAACCACGATGCCTCTGTCCGGCTGAGTTCCAAGGCAGCCCCCCCAGCCAGTGTCACCAATGGATAAGCAACACTTGCCCAGGCTCGAGGCCAGGCTCCTCTCCTGCTGTGACACTCCAGAAACCAAGCTACGAGGTTCTGCAGGCCTCACGGCACTACGGGAAGGAACCCTACAGGCAGGAAGAACGTTCTAGAAGTCTCTACCCACCATCCTTTTCACCACCAGGGAGTCAGGACTGGACTCAGAGGCCATGAACGGGTCGATGCCCAGACACATCCTGCAGCCCTTCTTGTCCTTCCCGCCTGGCTCTCAGGCTTTCACACGTCAGTGGACACCAGGACTGTGTGGCGCAGTGAATTCACATAACCCCGCACACAGAACACGACAGGTGGCAATGGGGGAGGCGTTCCAACAGAGGTCTGGGTTTGGAACTCACTTGCTCTGGGTTTGCCAAGCCTGTGCTGGAGGGATGTGAGGAGGCGGCCAGGACGCGGGAAGTCAGAAAAGGCTCCTTGGAGCTGAGTGCTAAGTAGAGGGGCACAAGGGCTCCCTGGGGAGAGGGAAGAGTCAGGTGGGAAAGGAATCGGGCAGTTCTGTGCCAAGAGGAGCAGAGAAAAGGCTGGAGGAACCAGTGACTCAGAGAGAGCTGGGGTCGTGGACTCTTCCCAAGAGGCACTGGGGAGCCATTGAGGTCTTAGAGGGGAGGAGTGATCACAAGGTGTGAAAAGTGCCACTGTCTGGGGCAGCCTAGAGGGAGGAGGATGGAGGCTGGCAGAGAGTCAGGGTCTCTCCTTTCTACCCAACACCCCTCGGGCCAGGAGTGGAGTCTCGGGGTTCTCCCTCCATAGTACTCAGCCCAGAAGGTTCTACCTGAATCAGTCTCCCCAGGTCGGACGGCTACCCTAACGCAGTGTGGGGCACGAGAACAAGACACTGAACGCCCTGGAATCACCTTGGGAAGGGGTTCCTTCCTCAACCCCTCTTGGTAACAAGGAGAGAGACTCTGTGTGGTGCTACGAGGCCCCAACATCTGCGAGCCCCGGATTGACACAGAATGGTCTCCAGCTCAGAGCTGACTGGGGGAGGGCTGGATGAGGACCCTGACTTCTCTTGTGTTTACTTTTGCAATGACCTTGAATTTCTTTTGGAAATGAAGCCAGTTTCCTGTTTGATGCAGGTGATTCAGCCTCCTTTTCAATAAGTATGTTTTACAAAGAATCAATTCAAGAAAAGCATCAGTCTGACATGGTGATCCTATAATCCCAGCATTATAGGGGAGGTAGAGGCAGGAGGACCTTGAGTTCGAGTCTAGCCTGAGCTCTGTAGTGACACCTTGTCTCAAAAAACCAAATCCTAAAGGAGCAGCCGCAGCAAAGACCTGGAGGTGTGACTCAGTGGTAGAGCCACAGGCCAAAGCCCTGGTTCCATCCCTGGCACAAAAAAAAAAAAAGAAGCAAGGGCTGGTGGAGAGGTTCAAGTGGTAGAGTCCCTGCCTAGCAAGTATGAGGCCCTGAGTTCAAACCCCAGTGCTGCCAAAAAATTTAAAAAAAAAAAAAAAAAAAAAGGAAGAAGAAGAAGAAACAAAAAAGCCCACAATGGAGGTGAAGCAGGTTTTGGGTGCATGCCATGAGGTGGGACTTTGTAGCTCCCCAGGGATGGAGGGCTGTGACAAACCAAGTGACTCCAGGTCACTTTCCTCTCCTCTTGTCTTGGGCTCCTTCCCTCAGGGACTGCATCCCCCTGAAAACTGGGGGCAGACTCAGGCAGTTTGACCAAGTGACGTCACTTCATCCTGACACCGACAGCAAATCACGCCACACCCAGCCGTGCCTCTGCCACCTGACCCCTAACTCCGCCTGCAGTTCATGCCCTGGGTTTCGGGAGGAGCCCAGATGACAGAGGGGAAAGGGCAGCACGAGGCACTAAAGGGAGGTGACAGGAAGAGACGTGAGTGGCGGCAGTGAGAAGGTATCTGATGGGACTGGGTGTCGCCAGGGCCACTGCAGGACAGAAATGAAAAGGTCACGCTGGGGCCAAGGGGAAAACTCAGTGCAGTGGGGACCAGCAGGTCACTCAATCAGGTGACATAAGCCCAGCTCTAGCACCCCAAGAGCAGTGGATGACACGGACCGTGCAGCCATGGGGGGTGCGGGGAGCTACCGCAGGGCTCCAGCCAACTTGGCCTTCCAGAATGTGACCCAGAGGTAGAGAAGCCAAAATCTGAAATTAGATGTGAAATCTCCATGGTTTTCCATTTTTTTCTCTTCTGTGCTGCTGGGGATGGAACCCAGGGGCCTCACGCATGATAGGCCAGCGCTCACCACTGTGCCACAGCCTGGTCCCCAAGAGCCACTTGTTTGCATCTCCACCTGCAGCCAGCAGAACTGGCAACCAACCAGGTTGCCAGTTTCAGGTCTCCCAGAGAAACTGACAGCAGAGCACATATGAAGCACCTGCTGTCTACCCAGGACTCCGGGATGACGGAAGGAGGAGGTGATCCCAGGGGACTCACAGATGCCTGACTGCAGGGTGAGAACCACGACCAGGGGGCTGAGGACCAGCTGCAGACAGTTGAGGGGCCGTTTCCAGTTCCGGTCATCCTTGTCCGGGTCCACGACGGGCACAGTGAGGAGCAGCAGGAACTCCACGGGCAACTGTCGGGGGAGAGGGACAGGGGAGGAGCTGACGGGGAGGCCCAGGTCCCTGGGTCCCATGGCTGTGGCTGGAACTTGAGGTCAGCCCCAGCTCTGCGTCTGTGCAGTCCCCATGGCTCCCGGAACAGTGCAAACTGATTCCCTCGCCGCCCTGGAGGCCAGAGGCCTAGGCTGAAGGTGTCCCAGGGTTCTGCCATCAAGAGGCCGTAATGGAAGATCAGTTTCCCTGCCTCTCCCAGCCTCTGGGGGCTGCCTGCATCCCATGGCTCCCGGCCCCATCACGTCTTCTTATGCTTCTATCCTCACTGCTCACCCCCCAATGTGACCCTCCTGTCTCCCTCTTTCCTGACAAGGATGCCGTGATACACTGAGCTCACTGGGAATATTCAGGACCATTTTCCCTGCTCAAGATCACACCCACATGGTCCCTCTTCCCTACACTTCCTACATATTCACAGGGTCTGTGGGTTAGGATAGGGACATCTGTGGGACAGTGAACATCCAGCATAGCATCTCTTTTGCTAATCTTGACAGGAACTCTGTGAATAGGAGCTGTAGTAATCCAGAGACAGAGGCCCAGAGAGGTCAAGGGAGCTGCCCAAAGCCACACAGAAGGGTACACGCACCTAGGATACAAACCAGCTCCGCCTACCCCACACCCTGTGTTCCTAGCCGCTTACGGAGTGTTACTATATACTGGGCACCATAAACATTCCCACAAGTGACTACAAGGTTCTCTGCCTCATGATTTGAGCTTGATCACTGACTCTTTTTGGTGGGCTGTTGGCAAGTATGATATGAGCCTAGGTTTTAAATGTGTTCATGTGGGGTGCTGTGACCTCTCTCATCAGGAAAATAATACACCCCAGATACCCACTGGTCCCCAAATGAGACCCAGGGCAGGTTTGATCAGCCACAGTCTGAAGTAGAGTCACTCTGGCTCATTCTAGTCCGCGAATGAGAAAAAACTATCACCCTTGTAAGTTGATGAGATTTGGAGGATGTTTGTTACACAGCACTATTGCAACAATAACTTGCTAATACAACCACTCATCCCATTTTATAGTGGGGGTTACTAACGCCCAGAGGGGGTAAGTGACTCGCTCCAGGTCATGATGCACCCAGAGTCACTGGGGGTACAAATATAGCTCACTGCACTTGCCCTGGAACCGAGACCTAAAATCTATCCAGGCTGAAATTTTCCCAGCTGCCCCCAGGAGCTTATAAGGGCTTTGTGCAAAACACCTGGCTTTGGTCTGGGTGGTAGAAGGGCAAGGGTGACCATACCCCCTGTGAATGGCCAAGGTACCTGGCTCAGATCTGGACCCTGGGAGACACTGGGCCCAGGGCACAGAGGTAAACTCACCCTTTCCCAATCCCTTCGGGATGGTCCCCTCTTTCTCTCTAGCCTTGGACAGAATTCCTCCTCCATGGAGGGCAGCACCCGGGTTAGACCACCAGCTAAGCTCGAGGACTTGGTTTCCCTGTCAGGTCTCAGATCGTCTCTCCTGAGAGGGTTTCAGCAGGTCTGGGTTCCCCTTCACTAAGCTGGAGGTTGAGTGGCCAAGTACACTTTGGTCACAAAGCCAGAAGCCTGACTCTTGGGTCCCCCGTGTACCTTGAACACCTTCAGGAGCCTCCAGGACACAGACTGGTTTCTCCACTTCCTATAATCCAGGGGGTTCAGGGCCCCAGCCAGGATCTGAACCGTGGTCTCCTGGTACAAGAACAGCGGCCGGTACTCATCGCCTGTGTGTATGGGGTGGGTAGGTGTGGCCATGGTTGGTTCTATCTCCAGGAGACCCTGTCCCCTCCATCTCTCCATTTGTTCCAGTGCCTGGCAGAGGGCAGGTGGACCTGGCCCACAGCTCAGCCTAGCTGGGGCTGAATTAGAGCCTCATTCCGGGGCTGAGGCCTGGAATGTACCTATCTCCCCATCTCTCCACCCCCAGCAGGGCAGCAGGCATCAGACTCACCGTAGTCATAGCTGCTGGTGTTGGAAGATAATTTATCGTCCTCTGAGTCAGGCAGCATCTCTGAAGGAGGCGGAGGGAATTGAACATGAACCCAGCCCTAGCCTAGAACCCAATAGGACCATGCTGGGGGGGTGTGTTGGGGGAGATAACTGGCACAGTCATCTGGGACTGGGGGTTGAACTCAGGGCTTCACGCAAAGCAGGTGCTCTACCACTTGAGCCACTCCTCCAATTCATTTTACTTTGGTTATTTTGGAGATGGGGGGTCTCATGAACCATTTGCCTGGGCTGGCCTTGGCCTCGATCCTCCCAATCTTAGCCTCCTAAGTAGCTAGGATTACAGGTGTGAGCCACCGGTGCACAGCAACAGGACAGATTTGAGGGTGCGAAACGAGGGCCCTCTATTTTTGTTACTTGTGTATTGTTGTTACTTGCGTATTTTTGTTACTTGTGTATTTCTGCAGTGCTGAGGATGGAACCCAGGCCCTGGCACATGCCGCACTGAGCCCTTCAGAGCGCCTGGCAGTCTCCGCACAAGCTCAGAACCCTGGCATGTCTAACCCGCAAACATCATCAAGTGAGCCAAGGGTGCGTGAAGACCTTGGTCAAACGTGACTGACCACAATGCTGTCTGTCCAGAGTCCTCTGGAACCTGCGAAGAGAGACCTGGAAGGGAAACGACCTTCCTCGGTGTAAGTGACCTTGGCCCCTCTCAGGTCACTTTTCCCTTTCTACTCCAGCCCAATGGGTTGTGATGGCTGTACTAACTGCAGGTGACTCGAGGTCTGCATTTCCCCCAGGGCAGTGGGTGACAGTGGCCATTCTGGCAGAGATACTAAGACCTAGTGATCTTGGAGAAAGAGGAGATGAGACTCCCAAGCACAAGAAGACCATGAAGGTGAAGCTGGTGGAACACGAACAAAACTCATGGAGAGCCGGGTGCCAGTGACTCATGCCTATAATCCTAGCTACTTGGGAGGCTGAAATCAGGAGGATCAAGGTTTGAGGCCAGCTCTGGCAAATAGTTTGAGAGTCCCCATCTCTAAAATTACCAGGGCAGAAATGGACTAGAGACGTAGCTCAAGGGATAGAGTGTCTGCTTTGCAAGTTCAAAGCCCTGAGTTCAAACCCTATTCCCACTCAAAAAAAAAAAAAGAAAGAATAAGAAAATGCAGGAGGAGGACAGGGAACAGGAACAGCCTGCAGGGACAGAGGTAGCACTGAAGGGCATAGGGGCACCCAGCCCCCATGTCCTGTCTTACCCGGAGTCCCCGGCATGGAGTAGACAAGGGACTGGCTCCGCTGCCACTGGTAGATCCAGGTGCAGACAATCACAGTGACCACGTAGAACACATACAAGCCCAGGTAACCTGCAGGCAAGGGTACAGGCTGTCACCAAGTGTCATCCTGACTGCATGTGGACGTGAGTGGTCTGTGTCCACCCAGCCTGGTCTCAGTGGGTGAGTGACCACTTCCTGGAGCCCCCACTCCATCCTCATTCCCTTCCTTGGCCTATCTTCCCTTCCTGTCTCTCTCGAAATCCAGGAATCAAGGAGGAAAGGCCGGTGCAGCAGCAGCCTCCAGGACCCCAGTCATGTGCCCAGAAAGTCAGAGCCACAGGAGAGAATCTGGGGTATTTTTGGCCCTGACTGCCTGTGGTGCAGGCCCTGTGACCTTTCCTCATCCTGGCACCAGCCCTTGCTGGACTGCAGTGCCCCTCCCTTCCCTTCAACCATGGGGGGACAGGGTGGTGACAGTGCCCACTGTTGTTGGTACCTAGGTCTCAGGGTCCCTTGCTGATCTCCCTAGCCCTGTGCAACACTAGACTGTGAATCATCTAAATAAGCCAGGCCCGAGGGGGCAGTCAGCACCCCATGTTAGGTCTTTAAAACAGGACCCTGTGGTCATTCAGAGCACTTCCAGCCCCGCCCTCCCCCTTGGTTATCTGAACCCTTGAGCAGGGTTTCTGTCACTGTCATTTGGAAGCAAATCAAACACCCCTCCCTCCAGCCACCCCCATCGCCTCCCTGGTCCCCAGAGACTTCCTGAGCCTCTGCCTGTGCTGGGCCTGGACTGCTCACCCAGGGCCCACACCAGCGTGACCCTGCCACGGTAAGCGCAGTGAAGGTCAGGAACACAGCCACCATGTAGAAGGCGATGTCCCTGAGAAAGGGCCTGGAGGCAGCCATGAAGGGACGCAGGATGGTGATACCTCCAGCCACCACGGTGGTGACCAGCACGCCCGCACCTGGAAGACAGCAGGACAGTGCTCGGACACTGGCACTCCTGGGCCACCCCTACCCATGCCCGCTAGGGTCACACTTACCAAACAGAGCCCCGATGGCCAGGCTGGCTGTGCGGGGGTCTGAGAAAGCCACCATGGCACTGAAGATGTCAGGAGCGCCATTCCCAAACGCCAGGAAGGTGACACCATGGAGGAAGCATGTCAAGGGGACTCTGTGCAAGGCCTTTCCTGGGCTGTGAGTGGCCACTCTGTGCCCCAGCCTCTCCCCTTCCCCGTCCACCCTTCCCCCTGCAGGAGGAAACCTGATGGAAGGATATTGCTACGTTGTGAGAGAGTTTAAGCGTAGTAGAAATGGCCGACAAGTTAGGGCAGAAACTATGGAGGGAAAGCAAACGATCAGCACATCCACCATGACCGGCTCCTGCCCCAGCTGTCCCCCAGACCCAGGGTCTCCAGGGAGCCTCCTGGGATTTTGTTTTCCCATTCATCAACAAGACGGAAGCCCAAGGACAAACTCACAACTTTGACGCGGTGACTCCCAGGATCAGAAACAGGTAAAGCAGCCAGAACACCTAAGGAGTAGGGGGAGAGTTCAGTCCCTCCTGGGCCGCCTCCCTTCTCACCAGCGCCCCAGGGCAGGGACTCACATAGAGGGTGACGGCCAGAGGGAGGAGGTTGGATGGGAAGTGGCAGAAGATGCCTTCAAGGTAGTCCAGGAACCCCCCCGAGCTGTGGCAGTCAGGGTTGGTTCGGATGAAGACACAGCGGTCAGAGACATTCAAGCCACACACGGTGCGACACTAGGAAGAGAAGGCAGGTGACATCAGGAATGGAGCTCTCAAGGTGACCAGAACAGGTCCATCTAAACACTTGAACATAACATTGTCCCCAAACTCCCCAGACCCCCTAATTATGTGGTTTTAAAAATAAACCTGCATTTGAATGTTTTTCTCCTGTATGCTGGTTTGAACTCAGCACCTCATGCTTGCCAGGCAGGCACTCTTACCACCTGAGCCATTCCGCCAATCCTGTTCTGTGATTGGGTTTTTTCAAGATAGAGTCTCAGGAACTATTCGCCTGGGCTGGCTTCAAACCATGATCCTCCTAATCTCTGCCTCCCAGAGTAGCTAGGATGACAGGCGTGAGCCGTCGGCACCAGCTGTGTTTGAAATTAACTCCAGTAATTCATGCACACATTAGTTTCAAAAGAAAACAATGTATCATTGCTGTCTTCCCTGATCTCCCCACTCTCCAGCCGTCCCACAGTGACCGGTTTGGAGCACATCCTTACAGACACTTCTCAGTTCTGTTACATTAGTTTTGCAGAAATGGGTCCATCCTAAATCCCGTTTCTGCAATTTGTGTTTAACACGTAAGGTACACCGTGTATTCACACACTTGGATACCATGATATTCATCTCATATACGATGATACACACAGTGATTTCCATACGCCAGGCACAGTGCTAAGAGTTTAAAGATGCCCTTCACTCTCTCTGCACACTAATCCTGGGAGACAGGCATGATTTCATCTTGCCATCATACCTAGAAGGCTAAGGCCATGTCCCACGGTTTGTCCTCTTGGTGGCAGAGTCAGGCTGGAACCCAGGCAACTGGAGGCTCTAGAGCCATTGGTAATTTAAAAAAAAAATTTTTTTAAGGGTCTCACTATGTAGCCCAGACTGGCCTCAAACTGGCCATCTTCCTGCTTTCACCTCTCAGATGCTGCTGGAATTACAGGTGTGCCCCACCATGCCTGGCACTAGAGTGACCTCCGCCGCCTCGGTGTAGTATATCTAACGACAGCAGCCAAGTGTTCACATCATGGATGACACAACAGAGGCCACTGTGTCCCCACTGGTGGGCATGTGGGTGTGACTCAGTGTTCAATATTGCCAATGGTGGACTTCCTTGCATATGACTGTCTGAGCATATGAAACTGTTTTGTCAGAGAGAATTCTAGAAGTGAAAGTGCTGGTGAAGGCCAATCTGGGACCTTGAGAGAGAAAGCATACTGGGGAGGTGTGCAGGACACAGTCACAGAGACGGCTACCATGTAGCTCCCGGAACAAAGTCCTAGGGGAAAGGGGTCAGGGTGCAGCCTCACTGGTGAGGCTGCTGGAAGGAGGTGTTAGCCCCCAGCTGTGTGGCCTCCTGTGCTTATGGGCACTTCTAGAAAAAGCGACTGGGAACTGAATGTCACCAGAAGCCTGCCCAAATGTCAGAGTCTGAAAGACATGCCCTGACCGTGTCCATTGCAGAAAGATAAGTAGCTCTGCCAAAACGCTCCCCACCCAACCCCGACCCTAGCAAAATGTCCACCCCTACCAGGGCAGGAAGCAAAGCCACCCTCCTGGAGTCGCTGCTACACTGGCCAGCAGAAGTTGGTTCAGAGCAATGTCATAGGAATTTCACTCTTGGCAAGTTCAAGTCCCCAAACACCTGTGAGATGAAAAGCACTTTTCATGTGCTGGGATTACAGACATGCACCACCATACCCAGCTCTGTGCTAGTTTTTATAAGATCCCATCAACCCAGGCCTCCTTCAAAGCACTTCTCAGGTTTTACAATCATCCAATCAGCCAATCATCCAATCAGCCAAAAGCCTCGAATAGCTCCTGGCACCGATCATTCCACCCAGCTGTTGACAGCACACTGAGCTGGGCATGGTCTCACTGAGTCTTCGTAAGAGAACTGGGGGCTGGCACAATTGTTTCCACTTCATGGAAGAGAAAACTGCAGCACAGGGAGCCAAAGTGACTTGCCCAAGGGCACACAGCCCGCTGCAGCTCTTAGGAAACTGCCACTTCCTCCTTCACTCCCCAGTTCTCGTCCTCCCTCCTTCCTGTCCTCTGGGTCAGATGGAGGAAGACAGCTGCTCCCAGCACCTCACTGATATCAGAATGAGTCACCCAGCCGGGTCCTCCGAATCTGACCTCCAGAATTGCATTCCTGCTGGCTGCCTGGTCTCTGTCCCCCTGCCCCAAAATGAACATCCCCCGGCCCAGGCCCCTTGCTGGCTGTAGCCCAGAAGCCCCTTCTCCTTCCTGTCCTCATCCCTGAGGCCACACCTCAGCACAGGAGACCCAGGACACGGAGAGGACACCGGGCTCAGATGGGACAGGAAGGGGTGGCCAGGTTGCTGTCTCAGGGCCGTGCAGGTTAAGGAGACATAAAACCACAGGTCCTGCTTGACTGCAGGTGTCCCTGCTGAAAGGCAACCAAATTCTAAAATAAACACACCCTCCCACCTGGCAAAAAAAAAACAAAACAAAAAAAACAACTTGCAGTCAGACAAGTCCGTGCACCTGATTTGGCCTGGGGGCCATCGCTTGTCAACCTGCACCAGGGGGTTGGGTGCAGGACAGGGACAGCTGGGCTGATAAGGATCCTCTAGGAGTTGCCCCAGCTTGCTATGTGACCTTCTGTAAGCCTCTTGAGGTCTCTGGGCGTTGGCTTCGTCACCTGTAAGGGCGGTTTTCATCATGCCTGCTCTGCCCTCTGTCACCTTGGCAACACGTTTGTTTCTGTGTTTCTCTGCCCTCACTTTCTGATTTAATACAAGATGCTGTCAGTGTCCTCCCAGGCCCTCAAAGAGGCTGAATGATTAAATCACCAAGAAGTTGAGGGAACTTCAAAAAATGCTTCCCCTTAGTTAAGGTGGGGCTGGCATATACCTAGATGCCCCCTCCCCCGGTTTCCCCTGCAGTCCAAGGCACCTCCTGCACATGAGGACCCTGTCATCCATGCTGGCTGTGCTCAGCTGAATGGTGGCCACTGACCAGGCCACCCCTGAAAATAGAAAACTTACACCCCGTGTCCCAAAGACTCCTGAGTCTTGTGGCAGCTGCTCAACAAAGGTGGGAGTCACAGTGATTATAAACACAGGACTCAGCCATTTGCTGGTGGCTCCCGCCTGTCATCCCAGCTACTCAAGAGGCAGAGATCAGGAGGATCGCAGTTCAAAGCCAGCCCTGGGACAAATAGTTCTCAAGATCCTAGCTCGAAAATACCCCATACAAAAAGGGGCTGGCGGGGTGGCTCAAGTGGTAGAGCCCCTGCCTGACATGCGAGAGGCCCTGAGTTCAAACCCCAGTGCCACCAATAAATAAATAAATAAATAAATAAATAAGTAAATAAACCCAGGACTCAGGAACCATGCTGCTTGGGGTCAAATCCTGCTGTATGACTTTGGACAAGTTACTAAACTCCTTTGTGCCCCAGATTCCTTCCTCCTCTTTAAAATGAGTGGGAGGTTGACAAACCCTTCCTATCAAGGACCAAATAATTGCCCCTCCAAGGGTCACTGGACTCTGGGCCCTGAAATTTGATTAGTATAATTTTTTAAATGTTTTTATTAGTATAGGATAGTTAAACAGGGGTTCCACTGTGACATAATTTTCACGTGTCATGTAAAGGCAGTGTTCTTTTTCCCCAAGTCATTAAATAATAAAAAAGCCACAGCCCCTGGGCTGTCTGAAAATCAGCAGTGGACTGCACTTGGCCAGCCGGCTGTCATCCTGACCCAGAAATCAGGGCTCAAGCCAGTTAATCGCTTTGTGCACAAGAGCACCTGGTACATAGTTCGTGTGCAGCAAAACCAGCTTATGACTTCGTTTTCCAGCCCCCCTGCCCTGCAGTCTCAGCCCCCTACCCTCCAAAGGGTCAGCTCCCATGCACAACACAGTAGACCACGTGACCCCCTTGTCAAATGGGTCCTCAGCAATTTCCCTGGCTCTTCTCCCTCTCCAAAGATGTCCCCTTGAGCCACTGGTCCCTGCTGGGCATTGAGAGCCGGTGGCTTAGGTCTTCCAAGGTGACCACCATCACCTCACAGGAACAGCTATGCCAGCTGCCTCCCTGCTCCCCACCGCTACACCACAACAGCCAATGGGATTCTTTTTTATTATTGTTGTGGTTTTTTGGTGGTACTAGGATTTGAACTCAGGGCCTTATGCTTGCTAGGCAGGTGCTTTGAGCCACGCCCCCAGCCCTGTTTTGATTTTTTTTTTGGTGGGACTGGGGTTTGAACTCGGGGCTTCATGGTTGCAAAGCAGGTGCTCTACCGCTTAAGCCACATCCCCAGTCCTGTTTTGATTTTTGAGACAGGGTCTCAATAAGTAGCCTGGGCTAGCTTCGAACTGGCAGTCCTCCAAGTGCAGGGATGACAGGCATGGCCACACACTCTGCTAGCTAGTGGGAGTCTTGTAAACACTTAAATCGGGTCACATTCCTCCTCTACTTAAAACCCTTCCACTGCTCCCATCTAGCTCCTAGTAACAGCCCCAGACAGCCCTTGTTATCTCTCCTGCCTCCCTCTCCCACTCCATTCCCCCTCTTTCACTGTTTCAGTCATTCCATTTCTGCCCCAGGGCCTTTGCACCTGCTGCCTAGACTGCTCTTTCCCCAGATCTTCAAAGACATTCAGGCCTCAGAGAATATATCACCTCCTCAGAGAGGCCATCCCTGACAGCCAGCAAAGCAGCTGCCCCCATCCCATCTCTCTTTAGCACACCCTTCTGTCTTTTTTACTCCTCACCACATGAAATTATCCCGTAGATTTATTGATTGATTTTGGTAGTACTGGGGTTTGAACTCAGGGCCTCACGCTTGCTAGGCAGGTGCTCTTAGTGCTTGAGACACTCCACCAGCCCTTTTTAGTGAATTTTTTTTTTCTGAGATAGGGTCTTGTGAACTATTTCCCCAGGCCTGGAACCGTGATTCTCCTGAACTCTGCTTCCTGGGTAGCTGGGATTACAGGCATGAGCCACCAGCTCCTGGTTAAATTTATTTCTTGACTTGCTTCCTGAGGATGGGAAGCTCCATGAGGGCAGTGACCATGTCTGCCTGGTCCCTGCTGTGCCATGGCACAGTTCCTGCACACAGTAGGTGCTCAACAAATATTTGCTGAGTGAATGCTGACTTCAAAAAGACTAACAGGAGGGGTGGCAGCCTTGCCGGGACAATGGTGCGACTTTCAGAAAGGTCTGTGTTGGGAGGCGGTGCACGGAAGAGGAAGACACGGGGAAGCGAGAGGGGTCACATCCTGCCTGTTTGTGGCCCAGCTTCATCTCTCTGATCCCCAGAGTTCTCATCTATGGCAGAGAGACAATGGCAGTCACTGTGCCAGCTTTGGGGGAGGATGTGGCCAGTCTGCCACGGGGCTAGCCTAAGTGCTCCATCACTTAGACAGACCTGGCACAAGTCAGAGATCACCCAAGAGGCAGAAGACAATTTTATGACCACAGTAACCACAAATCACTTTCCCGTCTGTAAAATGGGCTTAATTATTGCCGGTCTACTTGCTCAGAGGGTGGTATAAAGGCATTGTGCAGCCTGTTGGCTTGGTGTGGGCCCTGACACTCTCAGCCCTTGAACTTGGAGCTCATGATTCCCACCAGAGAAAGTGCAGGCTGAGAAGCCAGCTCCCACAGCTGGAGAGGACTTTAGGGGTCACTCTGAGCAGTCCCCTGCATTCACTTAATCTCTCAGGATCTGAAATCCGTTGTGACCTGTTCCCCCTGCACACACCACGGCGGGATGACGCAAGTTCCCTGCAACGGCCAAGGGAGGAACACCTTCCACCCCACAGCCAGGACCCCACTGCTCCTCCCCTGGGCCCTTGGCACACATCGCTCCCTAAAATCTACATGTGAACCTCTTCATCTGCCTGCCTAGCAGACTCCACAAGGGCGGAGATTTCTGCCTCCATCATTCCCTGCATAGCCCAGGGTCCGTCCAGCACCAGTGCCTGGCACATAGCAGCTGGCAGCCTACCCCAGCTTCCTGCCAGGATACTCACATCTGCCATGGGGGTCTGGTTCACACCTGAGGCTGCAAACAGGGGGGTAATGTGGAGCCCTGTTGATGTGCCCCTGGCTCCGGACACTGTTCCCATCATCAGTGGTACAGAGAGTGCACTCAGCGCCCAGTGTGGATCCCGCCATCTGCCGGCCATCGGCCCCCCAGGGCCTGACGCTCACCCTTGCTTCCCTTCCACAAGTTCAGTTCCAAAGTGCTGGCAGCTCCAGTGGCCTGCAGGTTGGGGCGAGAAGAGGGGACAATGTCACTGAAGACCCAAGGACCAGGTAAGAGGGACCTGAAGACATTTTCCACTGAGGACCAGCCTTCCACCCCCATCAAAGGAACCCCAATGTAGAAACTCACATTCTCTAGGGTGTTTGCTCCCTTACAGGACCAGGGTCTGCTTTGGGCATGCTGATTACAGGCGCCCCTCTTCCTTGGCCCCCTGGGTGTGTCCACAAGAACCTGCCCCCCACCTGTCCCCCAGGATCCTGAGAGAGCGGCCTCTGAGGCCAGCTGGGCGAGACAAAATTGCAACATGGCCATGGTGGGGACCCAGCAAACCCTCAGAAGGGAAAAAACATCTTTCTGGGGTTGACTTGCCTCGTGGGCAGCTAGTCTGAGAGGGAGAGGCTGGCTGTCATGCATACAGACTGCCGAGCCATGCTTGGCTCTGTCCCATGGTGTGCTGAGCACTTCAAAACAGGGACATGAATTTTGTCCCCACTTTACAAATGGCCATGCCATGCCTGCTCCTCACCATCAGCCTCAGTGCCACGCCTCCCTCATCCCATCCTCAGGGCAACGGTGGAGACATTACACCCTTTCCAGCTAGTACATACTTAGGAGGAGTTGGGGCCCAGAGGGGTTCTGCAACCTGTCCAAGGTCACACAGCCAGGAGGCCACAAAGCCAACTGCTCCTCTAGTGGGGAACTCAAATCCAGGAGGACCTAGAATTGCTCAAAGCCACAAAGCCTGCGAGCAGCAGAAAAGGAACCAGACTCTAGCATCTGCCTCTTCCCGAAACACCAGGAGTAAAAAAAGGGCTTTATCTTCCTTCCAAAGAAATTAAATTGAAAAGTCTTTGCCAAACAAATTTTCTTCTTTGGACTTTTCCACATGCAGTATGATGAACGTTTTATTTTTGCAATTAGGAAAAACAAAAGTCAATAAAACATTTAATGAGGTTTTGGGTTTGCACAAACATTTCTCAATGTCCTGGCAGCTGAGGGGAGAAGGGGGGGGAGGAGGAGGAGGCCTCTGGGGACAGGAGGGTGCAGAAGGGAGCCTGTCCCAGTCCCTCCCTCACCTGTTGATGGGAGCTCAAGACTCTTCTGGCTGTTTTTTGAAAGACTCCAAGTGGAGTCAGTGACAATCCACTTGGCCCCGACGTGGAGTGGAAAAACACATCAGTCGTCGAGCTCCACCTCTGACCCTTGTGGGGAGGTCACATCGCCTCTGGGAGTCTCTGAGTCCACATCTGTAAAATGGACACACACGTTGGCCTAGGGAGCATGCAACGCATACCACACCCCTGGTGTCCCCAACACATAGGGATCAGCAAGTGCCTCATCTCTACTGGCCACAGATTTTCCCTTACTCATTTCCAAATAAGCATTTATTGAGCGCCTCCTGTACGCAAGTACCAGTGCCAAGCGCTGGAGAGGTCTGCAAACCTAACAGGGAAGGATGGGGACAGGAGCCGGGGGCCGAGCTTTCTAGGTCGGAGACTAGGGGATGTCCCTGCGGTGTTTCCCCATCGGGACGGATGTTGAGAAGTTGAAGTTGGGGTGCCCAGATCCTCTGGCAGCGTAGGACGGCAGGGGAAGTCCCTCTTACCTCCGGCCGATCCTGGATCTGCAAACTCCGAACCTCCTCCCCGCCGGGCCCCACAGCCTTCCCGGTCCCCGCCGGATGGCCGGTGCCGTGCGACCTTCCGCCCCCAAGCCGCCAGCCCGCCAGTCAGGGCGCCCCGCCCGAGGCGGCTCTCAGCCTGCCGGTCTACTCCGCCGCTCTCGCCCCGCCCGGGCAGGCCACGCCCCGTGTCCGACACGCCCCGCCCCGGACACGCCCACAACCGGGACCCATCTGTGCTCTGCGCGCCCCGCCCCGGACACGCCCCGCCCGCCCCGGACACGCCCCGTTCTCTGAACGCCTTGCCCAGGACACGCCCCCTGATGACGCCGCGAAGTCTCGCCCCGCCCCATCCCTTAAAGGCACAGGCAGGAGGTCGGCTGGGGGAAAATCCCTTAAAGGGAACAGGAGGCCCGCCAGGAGTGGCTCACGAGCTCGGGAGGCTCGCGGTTCAAAGCCAGTCAGGACAAATAGTCTGTGACACCCTATCAAGTCTGGGCTGCTTCTGAGGCCGCTGCCTCATGTCACCACCTCCCTTTTCCAGCTGACAAACTCTTACTCCTTTTACCATCCTCATCGCTGACCCTACTCAGCCACAGAGCTCCTTACCTCTGGAGCACGCCTTTTATTCCCCTCTCTGGGAAGAGACAGGGTTGGAATCACAGAGCTGGACCTACATGGACTTCTGTAGCTACTTAGACGTTCTGAGCCTCAGTTTCCTTCCCTGTAAAGTGGGAACAATTGTGTTCCTACTTCATGGGGTCCTTAGGCCTGTCACCCACTGCGTATACACTCCCTCAATGCAAGCTACTTAGGTGACCCTCTCCCCCACTGGCTGGGGACCTCACTCACAGCAGGGCCCAGTCCAACTCATCCCTCCGTCCAGGTAGTCAGTATTGGATGACCACAGCTTATGTAGGAATGACCCAGCCTGCTCTGGGAGACAGCTGCCTAACCCACACTCTCCCCCCACCCTTCCCACTCCCGTCCCTTGTCACCTGCTGCCTGGGAAGTCCTCCAGAATCGCTGAGTTTGTAGCCAAAGTCCTCCTCCCCAAGGTCTCTGACCCTGGGATTCAGGTGCCCAGCCAGGGGGAGGTCAGCTGGGCACATGGCCACCATCTCTCCTCTTAGGACTGGGTTGGGCAGGAGGTCCACTAGGAGAAGCATGAGTGTCTGTTGAGACCCATGGACACAGCCAGGGAGGACACCTGGGGACAGGGCAGAGGAGCCGATGTATCCTGGAAGACAGCCCCTGGCTCACCTTGCTTTGGTGGACAGTGCTCAGGGCTGGCAGCCTGCTCAGAAGTCACCCCCATGCAGGTTCAAATCCCAGCTCTGCCATTTACCTGCACCTTGATCGTGAACCAGTCATGTCGTCTTTTTTGAGCCCATTTGGAAACTGGGAAGAAGAGTAGGACCTATATATGGGTCATAGGCCTGTGATAAGACTCGCCGAGATTACATAGATAACGCCTGGAGCCCATAAAAGGCAACAGACAGGAGCTGCTGTGACTCTTGGCCTCATTGGTGTCATTGCTGAGAGTGCGAGGTCATGACACGCACCAAGTTTGGCACACAGCAGGTGAAAACATTGCTTTCCTTCCCTCGAAGGCAAAGATTTCATGCTTGCGTCAGTGTCCTGAACCTGAGTTCAAATGGCACTTGAGCCACTCCCCAGCTCTTCTGTTTTTCATTTTGTTTTTGACATAGGGTTTCACTAACCTGGCTGACTTCAAACTTACCGTCTTCCTGCCTCTGCCTCCCCACTAGCTGGGATTACAGGCGTGGGCCACCATACCAGGCTATCAGTTATCTCTTGCTGCATATCAAAACATCCCAAAATGAGAGACCTAATGTGGAACACATATTGGTCCCCCACCCTTCTGAGGGTCATGATTTTGGGATGGGCTCAGCTCAAGGTTCTGGGTCAAGTCCCTCCTGTTCCAGTCAGATGGTGGCTGGGACAGAGCCAGGGCTGCCCAACATTTGCATGTCTTTGAGCCTCTAGGGCCTCTTCATGTGACCCCTCCAGCTGCTTTCTCAGTTTCTGGTAGCTGCCTGCTCATGGGGCATTTTAGGGAACCAGCTCAAGGGGTCCAGAGAGCAAAAATGAAGCTCTATTGCCTTCTATGACCTAGTTGTGGAAGTGACACTGGGTCAGTCACTTCCACTTCTCCCATAGTCACAAATCCATTCAGATTCAAGAGGAAGAAACAAACCCTACTGATACTGGAGTTTTGAACCCAAGGCCCAAACTCCTGAGATTCCACATGACAGGGTCACCCACCAGCCTCTACATAAAGAGGCCTGGTGAAGGCAGAGAAAGGTGGTTTATTACAGGGCTTGGGACATGCAGCAGGAAGAGGCAGAGTAAGCTCTCAGCTCATCCTCAGCCATCGTCAGGGTACAGACACGAGCTATAGACAAAAGAACTGGGGGCAGGGAACAAAGTCTGCACAGTTAAACAGTCCCAGTCACAGCTGTGGTCTGGTTACCACTTGAGTCACTCCACCAGCCCTTTTTTTGTGATGATTTTATCTACATAGGGTTTTGTAAACTATTTGCCCCGGTCTGGCTTTGCACCATAATTCTAATCTCTGCCTTCTGAGTAGCTTGGATTATAGGCATGAGCCACCAGTGCCTGGCCTGCATCATTCTTTCTTTCTTTTTTATTCATTTATTCATAGATGCATACATTGTTTGGTTCATTTCTCCCCCTTGCCCCCCCATTCTTTCTTTAAAGATGTTGCTTAATGTTCTGTTGCACAGAGGAAGGGATGGCTACCTTGCATGCTTTCCCATGGTGCCTTGCACACGTTCCCATGGTGGGAGCTGTGGGCTTTGTGGCTGGGACTTGTCCCCTGCAGACGATGCTCCTTCTGCTTTCATTTCTGTACCATGAACTCTGAAAGTGGAAGTCAGGTCAAAGGGCATGCACATTTTAAATGATCCTTCCTTACAAAGCTGCTTCCCTCCAGCCATGTCAGGTCAGGTCGGGTGCTGCCCTGCCAGCTCCATCCCCGGCCCCGGCTCCCTTTCCTTAAGGAATTTTCTTTAACCATATGGTGGTCTCGGCAGGCTCTCCACTGTTGGGTGGAGCACTTCCTGTTTTGGGGCTCCCTATATGCAGTGAAAAGCAATTAGGTCTCTGCATCAGCCAGACCCAGGCCCACCACTCACTTGAGTTTGATCTTAGGCAAGTCACTCATTTTCTCGTTCATCCTTTTTTCTTTTCAGTTTATTGTTTAAAACACACACACATGCCAGGCGCCGGGGCTCACGCCTGTAATCCTAGCTACTCAGGAGGCAGAGATCAGGAGGACCATGGTTTGGAGCCAGCCCGGGCAAATAGTTCATGAGACCCTATCTCAAAAACACCCAACACAAAAAACAGCTGGTGGAGTGGCTCAAGGTGAAGGCCCTGAGTTCAAACCCCAGAACTGAAAAAAAAAAAAAAAAGAAAGAAACCACACACAAACACACACACTTTCTTTTTTTTTCTGGGGTTGGATTTAGGGCCTCTCCCACCCTAAGCACATGCTGTGTTACTAAGCAACACCCTGCAGATCCTTAATACATATTTTATTCATTTAAAAATTATTTTTAATTCTTTTTTTTTTTTTTGAGACGGTCTCACTGGGTAGCCCAGGCTGGCCTGAAAATCACAATCTTTCTGCCTTCCCCTCTCAAGTGCTGGGATTATAGGCATACACCACCAAGCCAGACTTATCTATTTATTTATTTATAACTTATTATTTCTAATTTCAGTACTGGAGTTTGAACTTATGGTCTCTTATGTTCCCATGTAAGCCTGTTCTCCTGCCCTCATTTGCTTATTTTTTGAGGCAAAGTCTCACTATGTTTTCTAGGCTGGCCTTGAACTTGTGATCCTCTGGAGGCTACCTCAGCCCCCAGAGTAGCTGGGATTACAGGCATGATCCGTATTCTTCACTATGTACATTGAGTGACAAATAGTAATGATATTTCTGGGCTACAATGTAACATTTCAATACATGCCTCCTGTGTTGTCTGAGGTCCAGAATGATGACATCACCTTGGCCAAGGACCCTCTGGGAATGAGGGCCTGAGTGGGAATCAGGCACCTCAGAAGTCTGACCCACTCTGACCTGCTCCACCGGGCTTTTCAGGGGAGGCTGGAAGCCATATTAAGTGTGGAAGTAGCTAGGGATTGGTGGGGTGCGCCCCCTGGTGGCCACAATGGGCAGCGTCCCCAGTGCCTCCGAACTGAGTTCAAATCCCTGTTGTAACAGTTCTAGTTCTGTGACCTGTACAAGTCTCTTCTCCTGCTTCAGCCTCAGTGTCCCCATCTGTAAAACGGGGATAGTAACGGTATTAATTCTTGGTTCTAGGAGGCTTTTGGGATAGAAAGTGAGTGATTAACAAATGATAGTGGTGACTGGCTTTGATACCAAAGAAGGGATTCCTTTCCAGAGGACAGGCAGGTGGTTGGGGTGGCCTTAGTCCCAGCTCACCAAGGGTGCTGAGATGGGGGAAGGTCCCCTGGAAGCTTTAGAAAGTCACTTTGTGGCAAATGAAGGGCCATCCACCATTACCTGCCACTCCCTCTCATAACTGCTTTGGTTCTTCTTAGCGGTCAAGCTACTTCCTGCCCCAGGGCCTTTGCACCTACTCTTCTCTCTTCCAGGACTGCTCTTCTCTAAGAGTTCCTCACGGCTCCTCCTTATTCAGTGTTCTGGCTTTGTTGTCTCGCGGCACTTATTTCTACCTGACATAGTCAGGGAGAGCCTTTTTGGTCAAACTTGAGTTTTTTAACAAAATGACTAAGAGTCTCTAAGTAGCCTCAGGACAGAGCTTGTCACCAGCACAGAGTGATTAGAAGGATGGAACTTCAGTCTCTCCTGACTTCCAGGGAGGAGAGGGGGATGCTGGTAATAGATCTCTATAAAAATGATTATTTTAAAAAATGTTTAATTGTTTATCAAGTCTTGAGGCTGGGAGCAGTGGCTCACCCTGTAATCCTAGCTACTTGGGAGGCAGAGATAGGGAGGATTGCGGTTTCAGGGCAGCCTGAGCAAAAAGTTCGCAGGACCCCATCTCAACCAATAAAAGCTGGTTATAGCCAGGCATCAGTGGCTCACGTCTGCAATCTTAGCTACTTAGGAGGCAGAGTTCAGGAGACTCTTGGCTCAAGGCCAGCCCAAGCAAATAGTTCGCAAGACCCTATAGTAACGAGGGCTTGAAAGTTGCTTTTTGACTCCTTCCTTTAGCTGGTGAATTAACCAAAGGCAGGAAATGGTCAGATTGCTATGCATCTTTTCCACAGAGATGGAAGAAATGATGTAACGGGGACCACAAAAGGGAGAAGCTTTTGCTGTAGCCAGCTCATCTGCTGGGCAGTTTATTCTGCTTGTTGAGTAAACTGACATTTTTTTCCCTCTTTGTCTACATGCTGCAGAGTCCAAAGTTAACTTTCTTTGCTCTTCAGTTAGGCTAAGCGGCTTTCTACCCCGTCTCTCTCTCTCTCTGACCACCAGGGAAGTAAATGTGTCAGCCAAAACTTCAGAGAAGTGGCGCTGGACACCTGGAGACAAGGCCAGTGGCCATCGTGATCATGCATCTGGTCCCCTTTAAAAAGTGGACATTTTCTCTTAGAAGTGGAATGACAGAGCTTCCAGAGGCTGACTCTTCCTGTCCTTTTCATCTGATGAGTGATAAACCTTAGTTCTTTTCCTCAAAACCCTGCTGTAGTTATTTGTAAATTGTGAATTGGCGTTGAGGCCAGGGGATCAGTTTTTTTGGTAACACTATCTTGAAAATACCCAACCCAAAATTGGGCTGGCAGAGTGGTTCAAATGGTAGAGCGTCTGCCTAGCAAGCGTGAGGCCCTGAGTTCAAACCCCAGTACTGCCAAAACAAAGCAAAAGAAACAAACAAACAAAAAGTGGCTATAGTGGCACACATCTGTCATCCCAGCTATGTGGGAAGCGTAAGTAGGAAGATGGAGGTCTATGCTAGCTCGGGCATAAACAAGAGACTATTTGCTATTTGAAAAATAACAAAACCAAAAAGTTCCATCAAAAAAAAAAAAAAAAAAGCTGGGCAGTGGTTCACGCCTATAATTCTAGCTACTTAGGAGGCAGAGATCAGGGTGGATCAAGGTTCAATCTGGGGGATTGAGGTTCGAGGCGAGCCCAGGCAAATAGTTTGCAAGACTCTCTCCACAAAAAAAAAAAAAAAAACCCTTTACAAAAAAGGGCTGGTGGAGTGGCCCAAGGTATAGGCCCTGAGTTCAAACCCAGTACCACCAAAACCAAAAAGGGTCTTGAAGTACAAGATTCAGAGGGCTCCTGGGTTGGGGGACATCTCCAGGCGCTGGCAGTGCCATGAGGTGGTACGTCCCTGCTCCGTACCACCTGCACATGGCAGTTTCTGAGTGGGACCCTTCATCAGGTGCCTTCCTGTGTCCTGTGAGCCCAGCACGTGACCCAGCTGGGGAGGGTCTCTCACTGAACTTACACCAGTGAGCAACTGGGTTGTTCAGAAGCACAGGTGGCCTGGGACCTGCACTCAGCCAGGGAAGTAGGGACAGTCTTGAGGGACTGAGCCTTTTAGCTTGTGGGGTCTGCTGGTAGCTTCAGGGGATGTGTCAGAGTAAAATTGAATCACGGATCCAGACAGTGTCAGGAGAACCAAGAGCTGATTGCTGTTTGGCCAAACCTTAGGCCATGACTGGCCTCCCTCCAGAGAAAACGGTGCTCTGGCATTTGTCCAAAGCCCTGGCATCTGTCCAGATAGCTAATTACCAGCACCTACTATGTGCAAGGCAACACAGCTGTAGGAATGGTGCATTTAACAATTATTTACCAAATATCTCCTGTGAACCAGGCAGGGCTCTGAGATGGTAAAAATGATGAGTAAATAGAGCACTGAGCTCAAGACAGAGTGGCCGTTATTTTCCAGTGCCATGGTAACAAATTACCACAAACTCAGTGGTGTAAAACAGCAGAAATGTATTGTATTATCTTATGGTCCTAGAAGCCACCAGAAGTCCAAAATGGATCTTTTTTTTTGGTTTTGGGATAGGATCCAGAGCCTCACTCATGCTAAGCAAGTGTCTTGCCACTGTGCGACCCTCACATCCTAAAATGAATTTTACAGAGTGTGGGCAGGGTTGATTCCTTCTGGAGGCTGCAAGGGGGGAATCTGTTCCTGACTGCTTCCAGCTTTGGTGTCTGAGGGCTCCAGCATTCCTTGGCTTGTGGCTGCATCACTGCATTGTCTGCCTCAGTGGTCACATGGCCTTCTCCGTAGTTTACTCTCCCTCTGCTCTGCTCCTAAGGACACTTGTGACTGTATTAGGACTGGCCCCTAGTCCAGGCTGACTGTCCCATCTCAAGATCACACCTGCATAGACCTGTCCCCTTCCACCTTTGAGAATTTTTCTATATTAGGGAGATGAGACTTTTTTTGTGACCTATGTGGAGCTATTTTCTCCCAGTTTGTCAGTTGTCTTTTAACTTTGCTCATGCAGTGTGTTGACATGCAAAAGTCAAACAAATTTACATGGACCAAGCATGGTGGTTTACACGTATAATCCCAGCACTTGGGAAGCTGAGACAGGAGGATGGAGAGTTCAAGGCCATGGGAGCTGCACAGCAAGCTCCAGGCCAGCCTAACCTACATAGTGAAACCCTGTCTCAGTAACTATCTAAATAAGAAAGTGATAAATTTCCTGAGTGTATACAGTTGTGTCTCAGGACCCAAGAGGGATTGCCTTCAGGACACTCTCCACCCCCTTACCCAAATCTGTGGATGCAGAAGTCCTATATGTAAAATAGCACAATAATTGCATTCAGTCTACACACACTCTCCTGTACACTTTAAGTTATCTCTAGGTTCCTTCAATACCTAATACTATGTAAATGCCATGTATACAGTTGTACCACTGTATCATTTTTTGGGGAGGGGGTGGGACTGGAGTTTGAACACAGGGCTTGGAACTTGCAAAGCAGGCGCTCTGCAGCTTGAGTCATGCCTCCAGTCCGTTTTGCCCTGGTTGTTTTGGAGATGAGGTCTTGAGAAATAGTTACCTGAGCTGGCCTCAACATTTGATCCTCCCAATCTCAGCCTCCCAAGTAGCTAGGATTATAGGCTGAGCGACCAGCGTCGGACTCATTATTATTATCATTATTACTATTAATATTATTTGTGTGTGGGGGGGAAGGGGTTAGAACCAGGGCCTCACACATGCACTCTATCACTGAAATACATCCCCAGCCTGTCATACTGTATGGTTGAGGGAATAATGACAAGGAAAGAAATGTCTGGATATGTATGATACAGACACATTTTATTCCTTTAAAATATTTTCCATCCTCGGTTGGTTAAATCCCCCGAGGGCCGACTGTCATGGTTTTGACACTATGTAGGATGTCGTTGTGGCTGGGAACGCACACTGCTGTATTTCGGGTTGACAGGTCTTCAGGAAATCAAATAGAGTTTAATGAAAAGTGACATAATATTAGCAACTGATGCCGGTTATATAGCTATGCCCTACTATGCTTGCAACTTTTCTAGAGGCTTGGAAATCTGTAAAGTAAAACGTGAGCGTGGGGGGACCGTGCTGGATGTTCTGCAGGGAGCGCGCCAGGGCCCTTTAAGAAGTGCCCCGCCCCTCCCTTCACAGGCCACGCCCATCAAGGAAGACCCACCCCCAAAGCCCCGCCCCTTCGCTACAGCCACGCCCACTCCGGAAGACTCATGCCTAAAGCCCCGCCCCTCCGTCCCCGGCCCCGCCCGCGGAGCGGCCGAGCGCAGTCACGTGGTCCGGGTGGCATCGCGCGGCTCGGCGCGGTCATGGTGGCCCCGATGTACGGGTCACCCGGCGGCCGCCTGGCCCGGGCGCTGACGCGGGCGCTGGCGCTGGCCCTGGTGCTGGCCCTGCTGGTCGGGCTGTTCCTGAGCGGCCTGGCGGGCGCCGCCCCGGTCCCGGGGCACTGGGCGGAAGGCTACAAGGCCGACCCCCCCGCGTCCCGCAGCCGCTCGGTGCTCTGGGACGCCGCGGCCGGCCAGCTGCGCCTGGTGGACGGTCGCCACCCCGAGGCCGTGGCCTGGGCCAACCTCACCAACGCCATCCGCGAGACCGGGTAAGGGCTGGCCCGATCCCGCGCGGGGCCGGCCCGGGACGCTGGGGGGGTGCGTGGGTGACCCTGCGGTCGGTCGCTGGCCCGTGACTCAGTTTCCTGCCCCCTAAGGCTGCAGAACCGCGTGTGGACCAGTACCCTGGTTGGGAGGGCCTAATGCAATCCTCCTCACCTTGCCTCCAGCCAGTGGTGACAGTCCTTCTGTCCCCCCCCCCCCCCCCCCGAGAGACCAGTACTCCACCTTAGAGGCCACAGGCTCTGTATCTGGGTCGAGTCCATGGCCGGTGGGAAACACAGTAACTTATGTCCCTGCAGGGATGGCAGGAACAGTCACCTTCCCTAGACTTCAGCACCCCCCCCCCCAGACACGGCCATCTGTCCCCAGGCCACCTGTCCCCAGGCCTGAGCGTTCCAGGAAGCTAGTTTCACTTGAGTGTGGCTGGCACTGTGTCCCTTCCAGAACTAGGACAGTAGGACCGCGCCTGGCTTCAGGCTGATGTGACAGCTGAGGGTCCCTAAAGTCCTATAAGACAAAGAGTACTCCAGTTAAGGCCCTGCCTTTCCCTTCCCTTCTCTGTCCTGGTCCAGGGCAAAGTCCTGGCCAGATAAGGCCTGACAGCTGTGATCACTTGTCCTTATTTCCAGGACTCAGGCTGTCCCCCTCGGACGTGACTCTTACCTCACTCCTCATCCTGTCTGGCCTGCCCTCTTGCCTCCTTGGGCCCAGATTTTGAAGATGTGGTCTGGTGGGAGGGGTGGAGGGTTGATGCCCTCCGGTCATTCATTCATCCTCCTGGTGCTGAGTGAGGTGGGAGAGAAACTGTTGACACACTGCAGATGGGGAGGATCCGCCTCAGAGTCAGAACCAGCCGTGCTTGGGGTTTTTGGGAACCCTGTATGTGTCCCCATCCTCTCCAGGGCGTATCCCAGTGTTTAGACCATGTTGTCCCCTGTATCAGGCTAGGTCTCTCCTGCTGCTGCCCTGTCCAGTGTGCTGGATGCATCCGTTTCCAGGTGTTGGGGACACACAGTGCTGAGGACACCCCCATTTTGGAGGCACTTGAAGGTTGCTGCAGACACAGGCACTGTGTGGGCTAATCTGGGAGGCTCCCAGGGAGAGGAGGCCACAGAGCTAGCTGATGCCTTTGGAGGGAACTGAGGCTCTCGTGTCTGCAGCAGTGAATACCGTGACTGGGATCTGGTGACCCACCTCTGCTGACTCACCTGTCTTTTTGGCCTTGCTTAGCAGAGCCAGGAGGTCATGACACATCTCTGCCTGAATGCCAAGCTGAGTGGAGGCAGCGAGGCCCATCGTGGGGAGGGAGCTTTGGCCTCTGGAGGCCCCTGTGAGCTGTTTAGCTCTGGTTATGGGAAACATGGTTGTGAGGAAGGATCTTCCTTGATTGTTCTGAAAAGTTCCTGCAGTGCTGTGTGACCTTCACCTCTCTGAGCCTGTGTTTTCCTCTCAAGGAGGGGCTGAAAGAAGTAAGTGGGATTCAGGAAGGTGCTGCTCCTTATTTACTGAAGGCAGGGATGGGTGAAAGAAAGGAGCAGGGTACCTTTGGCCCCATTTTGCAGTTGGGGAAACTGAGGCCCAAGAGCTGGAGCCAGGTGTCTTCCATACTTCCTGTTCTCCTCACTCTGTTCTGACATCTTTCTGCCAGCCTCACCTTCCCTTTTACACTCATGGGTCCCTTTCCTCAGTTTGAGGCCACGATGCATGGAAGATAAGAATTTTACAGGCAGGGAAAATGAGACTCTTAAAAACAGTCTCTTAGCCAGGTGCTGGTGGCTCACGCCTATAATCCTAGCTACTCTGGAGGCGAGATCAAGAGGATCGCGGTTCAAAGCTAGCCTGGGCAAATAGTTGGAGAGACCCTTTGTCAAAAAAAAATCCATCACAAAAAAAGGACTGGAGTGATTCAAGGTGTAGGCTCAGAGTTCAAACTCCACTACCAAAACAAAACAAACAGCCTCTTGAGGCCTCAGGGTCAGTTGAAAGACACCTGGGCTGTCCTGGCTCCTGATCAGCTGAGTCTCTGGTCTGTAGGTGACACTTTTTTAGAGGATAAGGGTCAGGGATTAGACTCCCCTAGAATTAGCAGTCCTCCTCCTTTGAGGGGTTTTATCCCCAAGGACCCTGGGTTTGTCAGGGTGAGCCCCCCTCCCTCCAGCCTTCCTTCTTCAGCCCCACTGAATCTGACTTTGGACCAATCCTCCTTAGCCCCCCACCACGGCCTGGAGACATTTAGGGTTTGCTGTTTGGGGTCAGAGATGCTGCAGGTGGCAGAGCCTTAGCCAGCCTGGCTCTGACCTTGGCTTTGGCCCCTTCCAACCTTCCTGTTCCTCCTGATTCGTGGACCTGAAAGGCAAGAAGGTGTGTGGGTGGGTGGTGGGGGGGGTAGTATAAATCAACACTCCACGCCCGCCAGCCAGCAAATTTCAGCCCTGTAAAATGGTAAATGAGGCTCAGATGCTTCTTTGAAAAGTCACAAGAAAGAAGCTGACACCATGGTGAGAGGAAGAGGCGGTTCATGCAGATGGGGGACCCCAAACATGGTGGGGGGCGTCCAGGCCACTGCACTGCTGAAGGGGGTGGGGAGGAGGAGGTATTTGTGATGCCTGCCACAGAGATGCATCTTCCTCTTTTTTTAGTTTTGGGGATTGAGCCCCGGGTCTTGTGCATGCTGGTCAAGTGCCCCAGCACCTTTCAGTTTTTATTTTGAGACAGGGTCTCACTATGTAGCCAGGCTGGCCTCAAATTTGCCACCCTCCTACCTCAGCCTCCCAAGTGGCTTACAAGTGTGTGCTGCCATGTGCAGCTCAGACATGTCTTTTCTCATGTTAGACCCTCTAGTTGTTTTAGAGGCATTAGCTGCCCCTGATATAAAAAATCACAGTGGTGGGCCATAGATTTTCTAGAAAAAAAGAGAGAGAGAGAGAGAGAGAGCGAGCCAGTGTTGCCAACTTTTATCTGTATCAAGCAAGTACATTAAAAACCAAGCAGAACAGTATTTATTGACTTCTGTCTATATTTACTTCACAAAGATCAGTGATTTCAGAGGCAAAAAGGCTAGTGGCGTGGCAGTGCTATTTGACAGTGCTTCTAGTTTTAGGAAGTCTTGTCTTTGCACTAGGGACTGCGGTTGGCTGTCTAAAAATCGTTGCTCAGCGTGTTCTTGAAAGATCCCAGGAACAGAGGCTGAAGTCCAGGTCTTCCCATTTTACAGATGGGGAAGATGAGGCTGTGCGGCTATACAGGAGGCAGAGGTCTGGGCTGAAGTCAGAGGTCTGCGTTCGAATCCCTGCCCAGGCCACAGTTTTGTTACTGAGGAGGATGGTGCTGCCTTTGCTGGGTGGTGGGAGACTCTGTCAGTAGGGTTTCAGGCCCCAGGCATCCCAGGGGCTTCTCAGTGGTGAGGTTGGAACCCCAGCACCGAAATCCAGCAGCTCAGAGCTAAACCCCGAGAATGGGAACGTCCCCATCGATCCCAGGGGTCGATGTGTTACTGGGCAGGTACCGCCTGGGTGGTTCTGAGGACTCAGGCAGTGTGTGGAGCCCATGGGAGTCGCCTCAGAGGCCTGTGGAGTAAGAGCCTGGGAGGAGGAAACGCAAGGCCCGCTCTTCACGCACAGTGACCAGTTCCCTGTTTGTGGTCCTCAGTGGATGGAGGACACGGGCTGAGGGCCCTGTCCATTGTCACCCCCTCTGCCCAGCCCAAGGGAAGCCATCTGTGCTTCTCTTTTTACATTTTTTGCTATTATAAAAGTAGCTATTTCCTTTTTCTGTTTGCTTTTTGAGACAGGGTCTCACTACTATGAGACCTAGGCTGAGCCCAGCCTCCCGAGTGCTGGGCTTACAGGCATGCACCACCATGCCTAGAAGTAGTTAATTTTTCATGGTAAAAAGTCTAGTAGTTTAAAGAAAAATAAACTAAAAGAAAATTAAAAAAAAATTCTAGCAGTTTAGAAGGGTGAGATGAAATGTGGGAAGTAAAACCTCCATTTCTCCCTGTCCTTTTCTTTCTGTTTTCTTTTTTTAGCGATGGAGTGGCTCAAAGTGTAGGCCCTGAGTTCAAACCCCAATACTGCAAAAAGACAATTTCAATGATAATACAAATGAGGATTTTTTCTTTTCTTTAGGACAGGGTCTTGCTATGTAGCTCGGGCTAGCCTCAAACTCTCAATCCTCCTGCCTCAGTCTCTCGAGTACTGGAATCAAAGGTTGTGCCACCATATCTGGCTTCAAATGTGATTTCAGTGTCACCAATCAATAAGAAAAGATTAGAAACAAAACTCAGTAGAACAAGTTGGGTGAAGGACATGAACCAGAGAACCATAACTGACCAGTGAAGATAAGGAAGTAAGCTGGGTGTTGCAGTGCACGCCTGTAATCCCAGCTACTGGGGAGACAGGGATAGGAGAATCAAGGTTCAGGGCTGCCCCAGGCAAAGTTAATGTGAGACCCAATCTCAAAAGCGAAAGACCGGGGGGAGTGGCTCCAGTGGTAGAGTATCTGCCTAGCAAGCTGAGGCCCTGAGTTCAAATCCCAGTACTGCTGAAAAACAAAACCCGAGTATGTGTAACTTAGCTAATTACAGAATTACATTAATTAAAGCAGCATGTTGAAACTTTTGAGCTCCCGCCTTTGTGGAGACGATAGGAATTATTTTAAATGAGGGACTGAGTTGTTGACGTAGGTCAGTGGTAGAGCGCTTGCCTCACACTGAGCAAGAGAAAACAAAAACACGAGGAGTGGCAGACAGGAGTGTCCACTGCAGAGAGGCAGTGTGTGCTGGTACGGCTCCAGCACTGGTCGTGCTAGACATGAGACTTGGGCCCATCCTAGTCTTCTGGCCAGAACCTGCCTCCAAAGGTCTTCAGGTGGCTGGCTGCATGCCGAGCAGTGGAAGCGCACCTCTGGAGGAGTGGGACCACCTCCCTCCTCCCTGTTGGGAGTTGTGCTCTGCCCTTGGCTTGCTCTGAGCCATGAAGTGTATCAGCTAGAGCTAAGCATGTGCTGTGTAACAAACCAGCCCCGAGCCCAGCAGCTTAAGTCACAGCTGCTGCCCTCGTGGATCTACGAGTGCTGGGGCCCCCTGCTTCTTGCCGTGGGTCTGTGGACCTGAGCTGCTCTGGGTGTCTCATCTTCCTGGGCCCAGTGTGCTGCAAGGAACACGTCCTTTCCGTGGCAGTGACAGGTGGAAGAGGGCGAGTAGAAACCCGGGAGCCATGGAAGGTGAATCTCGTGACAGGCACGTGTCACCTCACCCACGTTCCACTGGGTGACATGACTGAGCTCATATCCAGGACAGGGAAGGGTGTGTGGCCATTGGTGCAAGCATTGCCAGGTCCTGTAGCACTGGTGTGGGCATGGGGCTGTGTGGCAGCTCTTCCATGGCTCTGTGCCTCGACTTCCTTTTCTGTATGATGGGCCCACAGAGCGCTTGCCTTGTAGGATTGCCATGGATTCGTGAGCTCATCAAGGTAACGGTGTGATGGGGCTGAGGGGATGAAGATTGGCACAGCACTGGGGGGAGGGCAGGGATGCTGTTTGACAGTAGCCACTGAAGTAAAGACCCGTATGTCCTCCAACCCCGCGGTTCCTGGTTGGGGTCCAGCCTGACCAGTGGTACACAGACGTTCACGTGAGCAGCTGTTGGCTACTGTGTTGTTTCTTGGTTTAAAACGGAAGCAGGCCGGGAGTGGGGTGCACCTCTGATCCCAGAGCTCAGGAGGTTGACGCAGGAGGGTGGCAAGTTCCAAGCAGGCTGTGTGTCTGGCCAGGGGCTGCTGACCGAGTGTCCCCTTTCCCCTCCAGGTGGGCCTTTCTGGAGCTGGGCACCAATGGCAGCTACAATGACAGCCTGCAGGCCTACGCAGCGGGCGTGGTGGAAGCCTCGGTGTCCGAGGAGGTAAGGCCAAGGTGGGGGTCCCAGCCGCCCCCTCCCGCCCAGCCAGCGTGTTCCCCAAGGGCTTTGGGGGCTTCGAGGTGTACAGTGTGCCCCTTGTCCTGGCCTCCATCTTCTTGGACAGGAAGAGCACATGCTTTAAAGAAGTCCCACCAGCCCTGCTTACCACATTCTCAGAACACCCAAACCAAAACCTGCCTGTGGCCGCACTGTCGGAGTCCCCGGCCCCGGCCCCTTCCCTCTTCTACCCCAGCGGCACCTGCGCCCCTCGGGGTGGCAGCCCTTCTCTCCCTCAGTCATTCGTCTGTCCGTACGGATGTATGGGTATATGCACAGGAACAAGTACCAGCTCAGAGCTAGCGCCCACGAGTGTTCACTCACATGGTCTTTGTTTTCCTCGCTGGCATTTCTAACAAAGCATTCCGTGGAGATATAATTTACGTACTTAAATTCACCACTTAAAAATGTACTCTGAGTCCTTGCTCCCATTTCCTGCGTGGGGAGCGGACATGTTTTTTTCCCCTTTCTCCCTTCTTTCTCCCGTTTTACTAAAATAAGTCCTTGGGCTGATGGAGAGGCTCAAGTGGTAGAGCACCTGCCTAATGCCTGTGAGGCTCAGAGTTCAAGCCCCAGTACTGACAAAAAAAAAAAAAGGCAAAATAAATCCTTGTTAAAACTTCAGAAAAAAACCCCAAAAAGGTACAGGCTAGGGACTTTTAGTGCCTCTACAGATGGTGCAGCTGTCACCACTGTAATTCCAGAATGGCTGATCACCCCAGAAGGAAAGCCACACAGGCTGGCTGTCACCCCATCCCCTTCCCAGCCCCTGGCACCCAGCCATCCACTCTGGGTCATTTAGACTTGCTTATTCTGAACATTTCACAGGAGTGGACTCGTGTGATCTCTTTCCCTTTTTGGGGGTGCTAGGATTTGAACTCAGGGCCTCAGGCTTGCCAGACAAGGCGCTTTACTGCTTGAGTCACGCCTCAGTCCCAGGAGTGGTGCAGTAGGAGCCCTTTTGTGCCTGGCTCCTCTCCATTGTGGTGCATTCCTTACTCCATTACAGCCCTCCAGCCTGCCTTTATGACTGAACAACATTGCATTGTAGGGATAGACTGCATTTTTTTTCTCATAATCTTTGTTTTCGTCTCATTTTAAGATAGGGTCTCACTAAGTAGCCAGGCTGGCCTGGAACTCGAGACCCTCCTTCATGCTGGGATTACAACTGTCTGTCACCATGCCCAGCTCGCTCCCTTACTTTTGTTAAACTAGTGTGACGGATCCCAAGCAGCATATGGTTTGCTTACTTGGGTTTGGGCTTGATGGGAATGGTGGTTGTGCACATCGGGGTCCGCTCTGTCCCACGTGGACGAGGCTGCGGGCTGCCGGCAGCACCTTGCCATGGGTGAAGGTGTGAAGTGGACCCCACTCTGAAGATAACTGGGCATGGCAAGTAGACCACTGCTCCCAGACCCAGTGGCCCCACTCACAGGTGGTTTCCCAGAAGTGACCCAGGGACGCACACGAGGTGCTGCTGAAAGTGGCCCCGAAGTAGGAAGATCCCAAATGCCGTCACAGGTGTGTGGTGCCTGGATGGAGGCTCAGTCACACACAGGGCACGATCTCACAGTGGAAGTGGAGTGACATGGAGGGATTGGAGTTCGGGGCGGGGAGGCCAGGCCTGTGTGGACAGAGCCCCTGGTGTGACACCTTTATAAACCACACTGCTCATCCTGGTGCCCCTGCCGTGGTGCATGGCCTCCGGGACCCTTTGTGTCTGGGGAATAAGAGCCCTGGCTGGGCTTCTTGGGTGCTGGGTGGTGGCCGAGCTTTGACTGTCCTCACAGGCTGCTGGGGGGACACTGAAGTACAGTCAGGGTGGTCCGGGTGCCAGGCACTGAGCCCCCGCCCCCCCCCCGCCGAGGGCAGCCTGAACACTTCCACTGGATCTGTGAGGGGGCTTAGGCCCAGAGAGGTGAAGTTATTTTCCCCAGGTCAAACAGCCAGTAAGCTGAGGGGTTGGCACTTGAAACCAGCCCTGTCTGGCTCAGGTGTCTGCTTGAGCAGACTTGGCCAGTTTGCTCTGTTGCCTTCCCTGTGGCCTGTGGCTTCTGTGATGGTGATGTGTCTTGTCCCCTGCTGAGTCCGGACCTTGGGAGCACTGTGGAAGTCTCAGAAAGCTGCGTGGAGGAGGAGGCCATGTATCAGTGGGGCTCCAGGGTGGAGTGAACAGGATTTGGATGTGTCCTAGCATGACAGAGATGGGGCAGGGTTCACTGAGCCATCAGCTCCGGGTGAGGGGCACTGCCACAGCTCTGTCGCTGACCCAGTGGCTTGGGAGTATGTCTAGTGTTGTAGGAATGTGGTGGAAGTTACCCCAACTTTCCGCGGAGCACTCAGCGCTCTGGGAAGTGACAAGTGCACATTTTGATGTGGATTCAAATCTTGGCCCTGTGACTCTCTGCCTAGGTGACCTTGGGAAAGTTACTCACCTCTCTGTGCCTCAGTTTCCTCAGCTGTAAAGTGGGCGAGTTAGTTGGCCTCATGTCACTGTAGTAAAATATCTGAGATAATTAATCGTAAAGAAAGGGTTCTGGAGGTTCTAGTGCAGGATCAGGAGATGCATTGCTTTGGGCCTGGGGTGGGCATGGCAGGTGACAATGACGAGAGCATGTGACAGCAGAGTGTACACCTCATGAATCAGGAAGCGAAAACGGAAGAGGAAAGACGTGGGTCCTACATTCCCTTCCAGGGCAGGGCCACAATGACTTAAGGACCTCCCACTAGGCCCCTCCTCCTAAAGGTTCCACCGCCTCTCAACAGCGCCACCTTGGGGACAGGGCCTCTAGAGTGTGGGCTCTGGGGGATCAGATAACACCTACTTCCTGCCATGCTCATCATATCAGCCACAGGCATGAGCACCCACCCTTCAGAGCCATGGCAGGGGACCTTCTCCTGCTGAAATGCCATAATCTGTGCCAGGCCGGTGGCCTTGACTGAGCTCACGCATGCTGCCGGCTGGTCTGGGGTGCCCTCATTCCCGTTGCTGGGGGTTGGCTGCCTGTCAGCTGGGGTGACAGGGCTTTTCCTCCCCCAGCAGGGAATCCCAGGCTCGGCCACAGGGCCTCTGGGCAGGACGTGCTGAGGGCCTGGCACGAGTCTCTCAGGTAGTGACTGCGGGAGACCTGCTGTCTTGTTGTGTCCTCAGTGCTCAGAACAGAGCAGGGAGCTGCTCAAAACGTCCTTTGGCTGTGTGGCAGAATGCTTAGTTAGATTGGGGTCCCACTTAAAGAGGACCATGCCTCTGGGAGGCGTTGGCGGAGGGAGAATTCAGTAGCGTTGACCCATGTTGGGGTACAAGTGCTGGGTAGTTACTGGGGTGGCGCCAGGGAGAGGGCCAGTGTGAGCCCCACAGGCCTGAGTCCCCGGGAGCCCCCGGGGTCCTCAGGGAGCAGAGCAGCCACCTGGCCCTGCCTCACCACGCCTGCTGCCCCGCAGCTCATCTACATGCACTGGATGAACACAGTGGTGAACTACTGCGGCCCCTTTGAGTACGAGGTCGGCTACTGCGAGAGGCTCAAGAGCTTCCTGGAGGCCAACCTGGAGTGGATGCACGAGGAGATGGAGCGGAACGCCGACTCCACCTACTGGCACCAGGTGGGCTACGCTGCCCTGCCTGGCAGGCATGGGTCGGCTTTGGCTGGCTGCCTGTCTCCTGCTCTTCCTGGCTAACCCTTGGTGTGTCCCACTGCCTCACCAGCTCTTGTACCCATCATTATCTGCATCCCTTCTACCTGACCTGCCATCTTCCATCTGTCCAGTATCTGCCTGTCCATCTTTCCATCTGTCCACTTGTGGAACTCCCGCTGCCCAGCCTAGCCTCCCTACCCCACTCGTTTTGCCTTCCCCCTGTCAGGTCACTGGTAGCACCCTATTTTTCTTGCAGAATTGGGTGGATTCTTGGTAGATACATTAGGTTGGATGCAGGTGGAAATAGTTTGAGATGGGGCAGGAGAAAACTGCAACACCCAGAAAGTTTGGGCATAGCAAATTTTGTTTTCCTTTCCCTGCTGAGATGCTGATGGCTGGCTGCTAACGGACATCCCTGGTCAGGCACTTTGCTTTCGGGTTGCTGCCTGTCATCAAAAGTCAGCATGTATGGCTTCCCTGAAAAACCTCAGGGTTTAACTGTGATGTACACACAGCAATGTGTCTCTGTAAAATGGTTCTGAGTGCCTGTTTGCACACAACCTGCCTTAGGCCATGTTTATGCCATTTCTCTCCCTCAGTGCCGTTCTCACTGCCCACCTACCTACTCAGACCCTTACCTGCCCACTCATGTTTCCATCCACCTGTCCCTCCCAAGTCCCACCAACCCACCCACCCGTCCATCCACCCACCCGTCCACCCACCCATCCACCCATCCACCCCCCTACCTGTCCATCCACCCACCCACCCATCCACCCATCCACCCTCCCCAATCCCCCCCATATCCGCATGTCCATTTACCCAACCATCCATCCATCCATCCATCTTGCATATGCTCACTAAGTTCCTGGTGTGTGCTCAGCACAGGCCAAGGCCCTGTGAGAGTCATGGTGAGGAGACTCCAGGCTTACAGGATGTTGTGGCAAAACAGTGACAGTGGGGAGAAGTTGGCATGAGGCAGATGTTGGAGGCAGCAATGCAGCTAGAGCATTTGCCAGTGGGCCATTGTGGGCTGGGAGGCTTCCTGGATGAGGTGGCTTTTGACCTGGGTTTTTAACTGAGGGTGATTGGAGTTGGCACAATGTGGGGGCATGGAGGGGCCAGGGCTGGCTGGAGCCGGGAGGGTGCCCCTGCTCATCTCCTGCTCTGGCTGGATGCCAGGCTAGAGCCCCTCCACTGGAGAAGGGTGAGCTGGTGAGAGGCCTCACCCGCACTCTGCCCCACCCCTAGGTGCGGCTGACCCTCCTGCAGCTGAAAGGCCTGGAGGACAGCTACGAAGGCCGTGTGACCTTCCCTGCTGGGAAGTTTACCATCAAACCCTTGGGGTTCCTGTAAGTGCCACCCCCAGTGTGTGCAGGGTGGGGAAGGGGCCCAGCACTGTAGTCAGACAGACCCGGTTCCATCCAGCTCTGTCACTTCCTGCTTCCTGGCCTCCGTGGCTCAGCTGGCCGCAGAGCCTCGGCCTGGCCTGGAATGGGTGTGCAGCAGCCCTGTGACCCTCCCGTTCCCGCCTCCTCAGCCTGCTGCAGATCTCTGGAGACCTGGAAGACCTAGAGCCGGCCCTGAACAAGACCAATGCCAAGCCGTCCCTGGGCTCAGGTTCCTGCTCCGCCCTCATCAAGTTGCTACCTGGCCACCGTGACCTTCTGGTGGCCCACAACACCTGGAACTCCTACCAAAACATGCTACGCATCATTAAGAAGTACCAGCTGCAGTTCCGGGAGGGCCCTCGAGGTGCAAGGGTGGGGAGGATGGGTCACTCCAAAGCCCTGCAAGAGTTCTTACTTGACAGGGGTATCAGTTCATTGCTTCGTGACCTCTCACCCCAGAGTTTACAACCACCATTTTCTGCTCCCATGTCTGTGGGTCAGCTGCATGGTGTGTTTTTCTGGGCCAGGCGTGGCTGGTCTTGGCTGGGCTGGCTGATCACCTGCAGTCTCCTGGGGCCAGCTGGCTGACCAGGATAGCGTCATTCACATGTCTTGGGTAGTTGACCGAGAGCTGGGGTGACAGGGATGAGCAGGTGAGCGCAGACTGGTTCGTGTACCATCTGGGCAGAGAGTGGAGGCTCTTGAGGTCTGGGTAACAGTGGCACCACATTCTGTCACCCAGTGCCAAGCCAAGACTCGAGAGGGGAAATGGGGTCTACTGTGTGACTGGAAGCATGGCAAAGTCACCTTGCAAGAGCTGGGGACACAGGCACAGGAAGGATGACAGCCACTTTTGCAAACAACCAATTCTCCAGGGAATGCACGAACCCATTCTTCCTGTCAAATGCTAGAGTCCTACAGCTAAGGCCCAAGTCCCCACAGTGGCTACCCCATCCCAGGCCCCAGAGGTCCACTGCCACATGTGTGTATTGCCTCCTTGTTGGCCGGACCTCACAACTTGGTGACACCAGGAGGTGGTGAGAAGGTGGGAAAGAGGCACCCTTACTTACCCCTAATGGAGGGTAAGCTGGCATGGCCCCTTCCAAGATCCACTCCACCAGCTCCCCTGCCCCTTTTTTTTGTGATGGGCTTTTTCTAGATAGGGTCTTGTGAACTATTTGCTGGGCTGGCTTTGAACAGTGATCCTCCTGATTGCCATTTCCTGAGTAGCTGTGATGACAGGTGTGAGCCACTGGTGCTCCGCCTTTTTTTGTTTTTTGAGACAGACTCTCCATGTAGTCCAGGCTGGCTCCTGCTTCAGGGCCCCCACCCCCACCCCCAGAGCTGGGACTACAGAAGTGCACCACCACACCTGGTCACACACATTTGATATGAAGTAGCCTTGTTTGCTAAATGGCAGAAGAGATGGAGTGAAGCTTTCTCTGAGGCCTGCTTGCTCCCCACCATGACAGTCAAGTCTTGTTGGGTAGGGGTGCTGGAGTCCCTGTTGGACCTACCTGACCAGCACCTGGCCGCTGTCCCTTACAGAGGACTACCCCCTGGTTCCCGGCAACAAGCTGGTCTTCTCATCCTATCCGGGCACCATCTTCTCCTGTGATGACTTCTACATGCTGAGCAGTGGGCTGGTGAGTTACCTATGTCATCTCCTCCCTGGGGATGTGTGTCACCCAGGAGCATGGGCCAGCAGGAGCTGCAGCCTGGTGCTGGGCACTGAATGAAGGACACCACCATCACCGCCCCAGTCCCATGGGACCTGGACTCCCTGCCATGAGACCTGGACTCCCACCAGGGCACCACCCTATCTGAGGCCCCCCAGACCACGCAGTGGCCCAGGTCCTTGGGAAGCACTGGTCCTGGGGACCTTTGGGAATACCCTTGACCCCAGCGACCTCCTGTTTTTCTGTGTCAAGGGTGGGCCCCGCCCTCTGTCTCCACTCTCCACAACTCCAAGCTGGGCTTTTCTGAATAGCTGTTGTTTAAAATGGGTTGTTTTCACCGTCTCCCCTGGCGGGCGTCCAGGCTCCTTTGGAAATCTTTTCCTGGCGTCCTTTAATTGCCAGGGTGACGCTGCCAGGAGACAGAACCTCACTTTGTATGGTGCCTCCCCGCAGGGCAGCCAGCACCCGCAGGGACAGGGAGGGCTGCTCTCTTGTGTTTCCTGTTGTTTTTCTCCTGGTGGGGGAAGAGGCCTGGGAAGGTGTGGGCCCTTGTTGGGGGGCAAGGCAGTCCCAGGAGGGCCTTCCAGCACCCGGGAACACCTAGCCAAAGAACTTCCCTCATGGGGTCTTCCTTTGGTTTTCCCTTGTGGTCCTGGGGATGGAACCTGGGGCCATGTAGCTGGGCAAGCACTTTACCACTGAGCCACACCCCACATTTTTATGCCACAAAACTCCTTGGCAGTGTGGTCCCCTGGATAAACTACTGTTTTTAAATGTGTGGAGCAAGACCGATAGGAATGTATAGGAAAGCAGCGGATTGAAAGATGGTTATCAAAGTCTGTCGCAGGTAATCGGGTGCTCAGCTTCGCAGGACCTCATGAGCCCTGGTGACCGCTCGGGACAGCTACAGTGAGGGACAGCAGCGAGGAGCAGGAGCTGTGCTTTGAGCCATGAACAACCCTGTTGTGTGCTGGGAAAACACCTGTGAGCTGTGTTAGTGACAGTGTCAGGCACTACCAGTGCCACCATGTCCCCCTTTCACATGAAGGTGAAAGGAAACACGATGGTTCTGTTTGGCATTAGTGAAAGGGAACGTAGGGTGATTTCCCATCCAGGTTTAGAGTCCCCGAGGCCTGCCCCAGTTAAAGGACTCCTGGATGGAGGAGGGTGGCAGGAAGGGTGGTGGCTCAGGTGGGCAGAGCTGTCCCTGCCTGGGTGCAGCTGGGGACATGTGCTCTGTGGGCTGTGTCAGGCTCCTTGTGTAAAGCAGGAAGGGGACCGCATGGCTTCAGAGCGGGAAACTGGGGAGGGCAGCTTTCAGCCAGTCCATTTACCAGAGTGACTTGCAGAATCTCAGCTTGTCTCCTCACCATACCTGGCAGGGAGGAGAGGACGTCAGTCCTTTCCCAGGAGGGTTGGGTCTCGAACTCTTCTGAAACCAAGGGCACCTGCCAGCCATGTCTGGGGACAGTTGGCATCGTCAGTACAAGCTAGCGGGGCCTAGAGCACATCTGTTTCATTAGATGGGAGAGCCTCAAGTTGGGGTCCGGTTGCATCCTGGCAGGAAGGAGGCAGTGCTCCAGGAGGCCTGGACGTCACAGCGTGGACACTTTCACACTCAGAGTCCCTGTCTTCCTCATGTGACCTGAGCAGATCTTGGCCATTGACAATGAGCTTTGGTCTGGTTTTATCCAAGGAGAGGAAGGCATTATTTGCAAACACACAAGAGGCAGATAAGGGTTCGGGTGAAGTGGAGAAAGGTGGGCAGGCAACTGTAGGCAGCATGGGTGTCCTGAGGCTCCAAGGCTGGAGGGAGGCTGGCCAAGGACCCTCCTCTTCTGTTGCAGGGCCCCTGAGGCCTCCCGTTGCTGGGTCTCCAGGCCAACAGCCTCAAGCCACCAACTTTCCCTGCAGAATCACAGGGAGGGCTGGGAAGGGGATGCTGCCTCTTGGAGAGTTGACAGACTTGGTGAGGGAGATGTCTGTGGGAGTCTCAGGTCCTCAGGACAAAGCTGAGTGTCCATCCTGAGTATCCCCGGTGCTCATCCAAGGAACAGTCCCTAAGCCAGGACAGGAGGTTTTAACGCAGCTGTTTGGCACTGGACTCCTGTGCCATGATGGATGCAGACCGGCACTTGGTGGCTGCACGTGTGGATGTGCAGTGCCTCCTGGGCTTTCCCACAGGTCACACTGGAGACCACCATCGGCAACAAGAACCCAGCCCTGTGGAAGTACGTGCGGCCCGAGGGCGGCGTGCTGGAGTGGGTTCGGAACATCGTGGCTAACCGCTTGGCCTTGGATGGGGCCAGCTGGACTGACGTCTTTAAGAGATTCAACAGTGGCACGTGAGTGGTCCCTGCCTGGGGCATCACCAACTGACCCCTCAAGGCTCAGAGCCCCTCCTGGTTTTATGCATGGGGAAACTGAGGCTCAGGAGGAAAAGATTTGCCCAGGGAGATGCCTCTTGGAGGTAGGGCAGGAAGAGAAGGTGGCCTTTGATGGCTCTGGGGCTGTCTGAGGAGGAGGAGGACTGAGACCCAGCAACTCTGGGACTGGGCAGTGTGGGCGGTTGCGTCTCAGACCCACCATCCCAGCAGGGGTCCTCACTGTTCTCACCAGCTCTAGGGAGCCACAAAATATTCTCCACAGGCAAGCAGCATGGTGCAGAGGGGTTTGCGATCACCTGGTCAGGCTGCAGTGTTAGGATGGCACTAGGTAGCCGGATACCCCAAGGCCACCCGCTGCCCGTGACTCCTGGCTGTGTGGGGCGCTAGGGCAGGGGAGGCTTGGCAGCGGCCCCAGCTCTCTTCAGGCTCTGCCCTCTGGATCGGCAGGTATAACAACCAGTGGATGGTCGTGGACTACAAGGCGTTCGTCCCTGGTGGGCCCAGCCCTGGGAGCAGGGTGCTCACCATCCTGGAGCAAATCCCGTGAGTGCATGGGGTGGGGTGGGGGCTCCCGGCAGAGGCAGGATCCAAGGAAGCCAAGAGTGGAGAGAGGCCGTCCCGGCTGGGGCTTCCAGGGCCGTGCTCATGGACCCTTTTGCTCTCTGGTGCCAGGGGCATGGTGGTGGTGGCCGATAAGACCTCAGAGCTGTACGAGACCACCTACTGGGCGAGCTACAACATCCCGTAAGCACCCCTCCACCTCCTCCCTGCCTCGGCTCAGCCCTCCCTAGGGGTGTGGAGTCCTTCCCCAGGTGACATTTTTAATCCTCTAGCGAGCAGAGGCCTGGCAGCGTTGCTGTGTGGTCATGTGACTCAGGCCAGCACTGTGTGACCCCTTGTCCTGACACCTGCCTGGGGGTGGCATGGGGGGCCCATGCCCAGGGAATGAGCCCTGCCACTTCTCCAGCTGGGTCTGCGTGAGGCGGGTGCCCAGCCACCGCCACTCCTGCTCACTGGCTGTCCACAGGCTGGTGGTGGTCCTCGTGGTCACTGGATGCGGGAGCCTCAGGTTGCAGCCCTGAGAGGGCCCAGCTCCCCCGTGACTCAGAGCTGAGGAACACTGAAGCTGGGATTTAAAGCCAGCTCTGGGTGGATCCAGAGCCCTAGCGCGGCTGCTCCCCAGGCCGCCCCCAGTGGAAGACATCATTATAGCTGCCTCATGTCGAGGTTGTAGTGACAATGTCTGAATGGCCGTGTGCCTGGCCTCACCATGACCATGTTAGGCCGGTGAGTCGGGGGTGACTTCCCTTGTCCCAGCAGGTCCTTTGAGACTGTGTTCAATGCCAGTGGGATGCAGGACCTGGTGGCCGAGTACGGGGACTGGTTTTCCTATGACAAGAGTCCCCGCGCTCTGATCTTCCTGCGGAACCAGTCGCTGGTGCGCGACATGGATTCCATGGTCCGGCTGATGAGGTGAGTGCCAGCTGGCTCTGTCACAGAGAGCTGCCTGTGGACGTGCTTGTCACAACTCATTTAGACCATGCCACCCACGTGGGAGCTGGGCAGGGATAGTCCCAGCGTCGTACAGGAGTATAGCAGCAAGTGGCCACCTGGACCTGGGTCCCATCCCTGTCCCCCAGTTGTAATTTCATGCTGGACATCTGTGGAGGGGCCACCCTGCCCTGGGGACATGCTCTGCCTGGGAGGGCAGGTCCCCAGCTGCTCCCTACTTCCTCAGGAAGCCTTATTTTACCAGAGGTGGAGGAGTCCATCCAGGACCCGGGCTGATGAGTGTGTGCCAAGGGCCACCTGAGTCCCAAGAAACACTGTCAAGGGACAGAACAGGGTGCCTCTCTCGGCTTGTGGTGGGGACCTGGAAGGCCTCCATGAGGAAGGGGTGCTGGGTGAAGATCTGAGTGATGAGGGTGGGGTGAGCAGGTGAAGGGGGAGGGCACCCCAAGGCAGAGAGCCTTCTGAGCCAGGTGGTAGGAGTTGCCCGGCAAGGTCAAGGCTATGGCTGTGTGCTGAGGGGATTTGCTCATGGGGAGTGTAGCCCTCCTTGGCTTCCTCTTCTCATGGTGTCACTGTCCTCTTCTTCCCCACCCAGGTACAACGACTTCCTCCACGACCCCCTGTCATTGTGTAAAACCTGTGACCCCCAGCCCAATGGGGAGAACGCCATTTCAGCCCGCTCTGACCTCAACCCTGCCAATGGCTCCTACCCATTCCAGGCCCTGCACCAGCGCTCTCACGGGGGCATTGATGTGAAGGTGCCCACTTCAGGGCCTGGGCTGCTGGGAGCGGGGGGGGGGCAAAGCAGGTGGCACGGCAGCGCTTGGGCCATGCTTGAGGTCAAGTCAGGGTGGGAATGGGGCAGGCCGGGGCTCCAGCTCAGCGGCTTGCTCTCCGGCCTCTAGGTGACCGGCATGTCCCTGGCCAAGGCCCTAAGCATGGTGGCTGCCAGTGGCCCCACGTGGGACCAGGTACCCCCGTTCCAGTGGAGCACCTCGCCCTTCCAAGAAGTGCTGCACATGGGTCACCCCGACCTCTGGAAGTTCTCGCCCATCCAGGTCCGGTGGGACTGAGGCTCCACGCCGCTCCGCTGCCTTCTCTGCTGACCCTGGCAGGGCTGCCTTGACCTCCTGCTCACCACCTTCTTGGCTTTGCCTTCTGCTGCCCCCTGATCTGGGATCTGGTCTGCCGGGTACATTCTCGTCTGAGTGGTCTCTCCCAGGGTGGGACACAAACCTGATGGGGCTCAGCACTGATGCTCCCTGTCTTCCTGAGTGGTGGGCCCCATCCCCATCTCCCTCTGCCTGTCAGTGTCTCCTGCTTCTCTGTCTCTGCCACCTCTGCGCCCATTTTCAAGCTCTCTCCTGAGGACTTGGCAGGTCCTAGGCTCAGCCTCTGGCCCCTGGCACCTGCTCCCAGTGCCCCCTTCCTACAACATTTCCTCAGGTGCCACTGGGGCTGCTAAGACTCAGCCCTGGGTCCTGGATGTGCACTCTGGTTGGCGCCACTCCTCAGCTCCCTTCCCCAGCCCCTGTCCCCCTTGGGAAGCCCCTTGTCCCATCTGGGCAGCTTTCTGAGGACAGAAACTTGACAGCAAACAAAAACCAAAGTTTCTGGCCACTTGTGGCTGGAGGATCCTGAGTGTCTTCTCTGCAGGGGAGGTGGGAGTGTCACCTCTACACTCCTGCCTCCTGCTCCACCCCAGCGAGGGCCTGCGCCTAGCCTCTGGGCAGCACCCACAGCTCCCTGCCATAGAAACCGAAGTGTAGGCTGTGCTGCCATTAAACACGAGAGGCCGTGGCTGGCTGCTGTGCTTCCTAGGGTGGCAGGAAGGGGAGCGTGCCGTGCTGACTCATGGTTTTCAGTTCTCCCCATCCACTAAGCATCCTTCTGTCTGACCATCTAACCTTTTGGTCATGTGCCAACCCACTCACCCATTTTCCATCCACCCATCTGTCCATCCGTCTCATCCACCTCTCCACCCATCCACCCATCCATCCATCCACATATCCTTCCATCCACCACCCATCCAGCCATCTATTCATCCACCGATCTGTCCATACACCCATCTGTGTCCACTCGTCTGTCCATCCACATGTGCACCGTCTTAGATTCTTGGGTCCTATTGTAGGGCCCTGTTAACCAGCAAGCCCTTCCTAAATCCTACTGTGGGGTATAGAGTGGCATAGAACAGTCCCCCGCACCTGATCCCCCCACATAGTCTGCCTTGGAGACTTCCCCGATGCTCTGGCTATGGGACACACACAGCCTTGGAGCGAGGGACTGGGGTTTACGTCCTGTCTTCTCTTACTAGCTGTAGACTCAACCTCAGCACCTTGGTCACCTCCTCGTTAAGTGGGGCTTATTGTAAGCAGCATTCCCCAGTGGTGTGACAAGGCTTCGCTGCTGTGATGGTGCGCATGGAACCTCTTGCACTCACTAGTCTTCAGCAAACCCCTGCAGAGCCCTCGGTACTACCCCAGCACTGCTTTGAGGCCCCAGGCCACCTTGTAACAAAAGGTACAGAAATGTCCTGCTCTTGCCAGTTTGTGTCAGGGAGATGGAAGCAAAGTAAGTGAGCCGCAAGCAGGTGGAGTCCCGTATGTGCACTGGAGAGTGAGGCAGCTGGAGGCTCGAGCGCGCGCTCTCCACACTGGCTTCACAGTCCTTGTTACCTGTGTGAACGGCACTGGGCTTTAAAGCCCAGCGTCCTGCCAGCCCACCTCCACTGTTCCTGAGAACCCCGCCCTGAGGCAGCCCTAGTGACCTGTCTCTGTGATGTCTTTATGGGTAGAAAGCTGTCCATGTGTTCAAAGGGTTTGCAGAACATGGAGGTCAAGTTCACGCACGTCTTCCCTGTCCTATAGGTGGATGGGGGCCCCTGCTCTGCACAGGCCCCCTGGTTCTGGGTACAGTTATCATGACTGTCCAGAAGGACTCAATGTCAGAGTGAGGTGGCTCGTCTACATGTCCCCACCCCAGCTAGTTCAGCCTCCACCTTTGGCCCCTAACCTGTTTCCTGTGGTGCAAGGGTCCTCTCTTCACTCCAGCCCAGCTGGAATCTGCTCTTGGCCTCTTTGTGGGATTCAGGGAATGAGGGTGGCTGCTACTGGGTGCAGTTTGGGGAGGGAGGATCAAACTAGCAAGCAGAAAACTCAACACCAGCCAGGTATGGTGGTGCATACCTATAATCCCAGCATTTGGGAGGCCAAGACAGGAGGAGCACAAGTTCCAGGTCAGCCTGGGCTGTGTAGTGAAGCCCTGTCTCAAAACCAAACACCAAAATCAAAAGATCTTTGTTTTATAAATACACACACACACATATTTTAGTGAAACAGCGCACATTAGAAAAATGGGTGAGGGGGGCTGGGCTTCTGCGAGGAGGGTGAGCAGGTTCTCCAACACTGGACCAGGCCGGGCACCTTCAGGGAGGAAGCCTGGTGCAGGAGGCTGCTGCTGGGGACCTAGTGTGTCACGGGCAGTTGTCTCCCTTTCTGGGTGACAGGACAGTCACACAGAGCAGCCACAGACACCAAAGAGGCTGGGTTCATGGCCTGGGGGCTGCCGACTGGCCCGCTCCTCTGCACGCAACCCAGATGCAAGTATGGAGGAAAGTCCAGCCCCGGGGGTCCCGGGGTGGGGGGACACAGGTGGGGAGGGCCTCACGCGGGCAGCCCATTCTTCATGCCCAGCTGGGCCTTGAGGACCCGCAGCTGGGCCAGGCTGATGTTGCTGCCACCGCAGACGATGACCACCAGGGAGGACAGGGGGACGGGCAGCTTCCCCTGCCCCTGCAGCTTCCTCACCACGTGACTGTAGACCGCGGCCAGCGCCGCCCCGCAGGCGGGCTCCACCAGCGTCTTCTCGTCGTCTGCGGGGGCAAGGGGCGTGGCCAGGAACGGTGAGGCCATTGGCAGAGCGCGGGCGTCACCAGCCAATCAGGTCTCAGCCCTGGCCAGCCTCGACTCTTGGACCAAACCTCCCAGCATCACTGTAGACCCGGCTTTCCCAGCCTGGGTTTCATCACGAGGGTTCGCACGTGTACAGTGATCGTAGTTACTGAGGCACTGAGTGTCCTAGTTCGTTACTCAGGTTGACAGACACTCAGAACCAAGTGGCAGCATAAGGGCTACTTTTTTTTTTTTGCCATCCCTGTCCTTGAACCCAGGAGAAATTCAGTTACAGACTCACGTCCAAATCCAACTCTGATCCCTGTCCTTTCCCTTTTTACCCTGGCCACCAGGAAGCTCAGGACTGGTATTTAAAATGCTGTTATTGTTCCCTGCATGTCATGGTTACCAGCCTTATTCTGCACGGACGGCTTAGCGTTTTTACTTTAACCACTGCACTGTATTATCTTCCACTACCAAGACATTCTAGGGAGAGACGGAAGGCAGAACTAGGAGAAAAGTTGGGGTGGATGGGATCCCATGTTACATACCCACAAACTTCTCAATGGCAGCCACAGCCTCCTGGTCCGAGATAACCTCAGAGAAAATGGGGTGTTCCTGAAACAGCTTCAGTGCCTGCGCCCCCACTGTGTTCACGCCCAGAGCCTTGGCAACACTGAGAAGTGGCGATGGGGGAACCAGGAGAGAGGAGGGAGGCAGGGATGGGGACAGGGAGGGAGAAAGAGATGGAGATGGAGGTGAGAGGCAGTCGGGGCAGGGGACAGGCAACTTCTGCAGCCCTGAAGCCTGAAGGGCCCCAGGCCCTGGACTCTGGGGTCTGTGGCTCCACACTGTTCAACACTCACTGCAAATACCGCAAGAACCCTCCCCTTCCCCAGGACCCCTCTGCTCCAGCTTCTAACCTCTACCCTGTTACCCTCCCTAAGCCTGCATGTCTTTACTTGCGCACCCTCTGAGGCTTAAGACTGTGGTCCCCTCCTCCGGAGGGCCCTCTGAGGTACTTCTCATGGCTTGTGTGGCATTCTCAGATGCCTGCCCCCTTCATAACAAGCCTGGTGAGTCTTTTTTGTCAAAGTACCAGCTCGGCACCAGTGGCTCACGCCTGTAATCCTAGCTACTCATGAGGCAGAGATCAGGAGGATCGAGGTTGGAAGCCAGCCTGGGCAAATAGTTTGTGAGGCCCTATCTTGAAAAAACCTATCATTAAAAAAAAGGCTGGGGGAGTGGCTCAAGTGGTGGAGCACCTGCCTAGCAAGCGTGAGGCCCTGAGTTCAAATCCCAGTTACTGCCCCCCAAAGAAAAAAACAAAGTACCAGTTGCCAAGCCTCCCACGGCATTACTTAATGGCAATTTTTGCCACTATGAATTGGTTCAATTGTATAGAAGGGAAACTGAGGCAGAGTGTACAGTCACTTGCCCAAGGTCACATGTCCATGGAGTAGTGGTGCCAGGGCTATGAGCAGGACTGGTACCGGTAGCCATGTGTTGGTGCCCTCCTCAGCCTCCCAAAGGACTTCTGGTCCTTTGCTGACACATCTCCCCAACTTGCCCAGGAGCATCTCAAGGGCCTGGACTGCCTTAGCCCTAAGGCAGCATGTGTGTCACAGGAGGCTGTGACAATGATCTCTTTTGTCCAAGCAGTGCTGGGGCAGACACAGTAGCTCCTGGGTGCCAGGCTCAGAAACCGGTAAGAAGCTGTCACCTGGACTCAGTCTTCCCGTCTGTGGCAGGGGCCATTGTCTACCATGGTGTCTGCTCCAGCTGCACATGGATGCCGGCTAGGGGACATTTCCAGCCTCCCTTGCAGCTAGGTGGGCTCACGTGACTGAGTCTGGCCCAGGAGAGAGAAGAGGAAGTATGGGGTCCCTGACCTACGACTTCTCAACTTCATAGTGGTGCGAAAACGATACACCTTCAGTGCTTTAAGTCTGGAGTTTGAGGCTTTCCCCAAGCTGCAGATTTGTGGTACAATTCTCTGTCGTGATGCTGGTGGCGGCAGTGAAGCCACAGTCCCCTCAGCTGTGTGGTCACCAGGTGGAAACAGCAGATGTTCCAGGATGTACTACACCGTGGAAGGTTGGACACATTTGATTCATTTTTTATTTGTGATGTTTTCAGCAAACGATGGGCTTACCAGAATGTAACCCCATTGTAGTCAAACAGCAGCCATGCTTTGTCATTAAAGGTAGGACACAGCTTTCTGCCCTTACTGATGGAGTGTGGGTGTGGTAGTTGGCACTCAAGCAGCCATTTTAGGTCCTAAGGCTACATGCTGAGGGTGGCAATGAACTGAAGAAACCTGGTCCCTGATTTCATGGCCTTGCCTCTATACTGCCTACCTCAGACTTCTTCATAGCAGAGAAAAATAAAGTTCATTGTTGCTATTCTGGGTTCCTGTGTAATGCAGCCCAAACCTAGTTCTAATGTAGCAAAGGTTTGAGACCAAGAGATGCATTTATTCATCTACGGTCAGCCAGTGTCCTGCACAAGCCAGGGGCTCAATAAATGATTGGTTTGTAAAACCCCAACATGGGGGGAAGCAAGAAATGATTAGTATTAACGTTTTCACAAGAGGAAGTGTGACGTCCCTGGTAGAGAGTCCCACTGACTTGGGTTCAAGTCCCAGCCATACCACCAATGGCTGTGTGACCTTGGGCAAGTGACAAAAACCTCAGTTTCCTCACCTGGAGAGTGGAACTGTCATCAGCACTGGGGGAGCAGGAGGTTCCCCCAGGCTTGCTGGACACCGAGGGAGGCACCCCAGCTGCTCACCTGGTGATCCTAGGCAGGCAGACCAGCTTGCCTGCTATGGTGGCCGCATGGAAGCTGTGGGCACCGATGGTCTCCATGGCGATGATGGGGACGTCCCCCCAGCCCACCTCCTGCAGGCCCTGGACCACGCCGCACAACAGGCCCCCACCGCCCACCGACAGCACGATGGCCCCTGGCTTTGCACTCAGTGTCTCCTTCAGCTCCCTCACGATGGACATGTGGCCTTCCCTGGGTGGGGGGAGCGGGAGGGGAAAGGGGGTGGTAGGTCAGGGCTGGGCTTCCGGGACACCAAGCAGGGGTCCTCCATGGAGATGTCACTGCAAGTCTGCACTTGCTCTTATCCCTGGCAGCTGATGGGTTTGGGGGCTACTCCCTGCCTCCCAGCCTTCGCTCCGATGCTGGCTGCCAGGCTCTCTGGTCACTGGAACTGCCTACACATCTGGCCACCAGCAGTGCTTCAGGGGACAACGCCCCCTGAGAGTGGCCCTCAGCTGATGGCTATGGGAGCTGGTGTATAAGTCCCCCACTCCCTCTCCTGTACATGGGAGAGCCCTGTGGCACACATTCTGTAGTGGCCCCTCAGGTGTCCTTGGGGCACTGAGCCCATGCAGCCCGGGGAAGTCCCCTGCCCAAGAGAACCCCTTTAATTGGCTGCTTCTCGTGTCACTTGTCCACATGACTGAGTCACCACCCCCACCTCCAAACGAGCTGCTTCTCTAATTCCTCGCCCCGGGGTCTGTGTCTGGGAACCCCACTGCTGACACTTGTGTCTGTGTGTCCACAGAGTCACACCTGGACATGTCAGGGAGAGTGGACAGTTCCACAGTGACATTGTGGTGGATGCCCACCTCCCACACAAGGTGACCTTGAACTCCACTTACCAGATGAGAGGGTCATCAAAGGGGGGGACGTAGACCCAGCCTGGGTTGTTCTTCACCAGGGCCCTCGCCAGCTCAAAGGCCTCCATCAACGTCTGCCAGGCGACAGGGTGTGGGGACAGGGGTTGGGGCAATGAGGAACTCTGTCCAGCCACCAGATCCCTTGTGGCCCCTACCCTGAGTTGGCACTCACCTCACCCACCACCTTGACCATGGCGCCCTCATTCTTGAGCCTTTCGATGGTGAGGTCAGGTGTGGTGCTGGGTACGATGATGGTGGCGGGGAGGCCCAGCTTCCTGGCAGCATAGGCAGCCGCCATGCCTGCATTGCCGGCTGTCACGGTGGGAATGGAGGTTCTGTGTTAGTGCCGCAGGGTTTGGGAGCCCAGTTAGGACTGGTCACACCCCCCAACTAGAGTTCTAGGCTCCCCCTTACCCCCTGTGTGACCACTGGCCTCCTCCTGGAATCCCAAGTTGGAGCCTTTGCAAATGTTTGCGATAGCTCATTGCTCAGGAAACCAGGGCTCAGAGAGGCAAAGCGCCTGGCCCCAGAACACACAGCCAAGGACAGGAAGGGGAAGAGGTGACTTACCCGAGGAGCAGACAAAATGTTCACAGCCTTGCTCAGCCCACTGTGGAGACGAGAAGGGAGGGGTTAGGCACACCCCTCAGTCTTGCCTGTGCTGGTCCCTGCCACCCGGAACCCCTTCCATGGACACCGACCTCCACTTCTTTCACTTGATACTTGTACTGCCCTGTGTCAGACTGCATCCTCCTCCCCAAGGAGATGGGCAAGGGCTAGAGGAGGGTAAAGGCAAGTGACATGGCGCTGTGGTCAGTCCATAGGGACCTTTGAGGGTCTGCACCCTTAACCAGAGGCAGTCGTAATACAGAAGGTACATTATCATGAGAACTTAGCCAACCTATCCTGGAACTTACTGTGTAGCCTCCCGAATGCTGGGATTACAGGCGTGTACTACCATATCTGAACTCCTCTTAGTTCACAGAGCCCTGGCCCTGAAGGAGTACCTGCCCCTCCCCCCAGGATGCCCACCCCATCTTGTACCGTCTTGCAGAAGTGCCCGATACCCCGGATCTTGAAGGAGCCAGAGGGCTGGGAGCTGTCCATCTTGAGGTAGACATTGGTGCCTGCAACTTTGGACAGCGTCATGCTGTCGCGAACTGGGGTCTTCATGTGCAGGGGCTCCTCAGAGGTCATTGCTGGGAGGAAGTCCAGAGAGTCAGGAGAGCTGGCCAGGGTGCAGTGACCCCTCCTAAACTTCCCAAGAGGCGAGGAAGGGGCCTGGGTGATACAGCACCCTGGAGATCTGTGTTCAAATCTCAGCCCGGCATCAACAAACAATTTCCCCCTCATCCTTGGCTCCATCATCTGTAAAATGCTCCCCATGGCGGGAGGAGGCCAGGTCACAGGCAGAGACCACAGGGACCCAACTCCTTGACAGCTGCTGGGAGTGAAGAAGCCCTCGAGAGGACCGTCACTCGGTCTTGGTCACTCAGAAACCCTCAAGTGACAGCTGCCTAGCTGAGCCCAATGGAGCCCCGGGACTGTGATGGACATTAGCAAAACTATTAGCAAAATTAATATTTTAGGGTGTGTCTTAGATTATGTTTGGGGTACCTTGCTACAAGCAACAGGAGCTACTGTGTTAATGTGACTGGTCCAAGGTCACACAGCTAGTGAGACAGGATTGGAACTCCAGCAGTCTGCCTGGGACTGTGGGTGGGCTCCAGGAAACCTGATGGACTTTCTATCTGTCCCTCTGTCTTGCTGAGTCACAGGGGAGATGTAACTCGTCCCCTACTTGGGCGGAACCAGAAGAGATCAGCAGGTGGCTGGCTGAGGGCCTGTCTGGTGCTTTCCCCCCATCACAGGCAAACACCCCATGTTTGTCTGACTTAACCCACAATGGGGGCCGGTCACCCGGTGGATAGCAGATCTCTTGAATGTAAGTCAGACATTGAGAGCATTTCAGGACAGGACTCCCCCAGATCGTTTTGCCTCTGTTTGGGATGGGAGGAGCCCCCTCCCAAGTCCTCTTTGTGGATTTGGGGAGCCCTGTGCACTCCGTCCCAGGTTGCACCATTGCCTTCATTTATGGGGCAGGGCTCCCCCTATGTGCATCTACCCCCTCCGAGGTTCAGAGCCCAATAATCCGCCCCCAGCTGCCGCAGGAACTAGAAAAGGGGTTGGGGGGGGCTCTGTCCACGCCACGGGCCTGCCACGAGCTCACGGGAGCGCTCAGTCAGTATTACCCATCGTTGCACGACGTGCACCGTCTCACTTGGCCCTAAGGAGGTCCTTCAGAGACCGCCCAGTTTACAGATGGGACCATCGAGGCACAGAGTGGCCGCGCCCCCGCCCCTGGCTCCCTCTCCCCGGCAAGCAGGCAGGTCAGGCAGTCCTGAGGTGCAGCTGAGGACGGGGGCCACCTACCGGGCATGGCGGAGGAGCTGCGAGGATGGACGGTGTAAAGTGAGATGGGGTCCCTGTGCGCGGAGACAGGGAGGCAGCCGCGGACTGCGGAGACGCCGGCTTTATCAGCCCCTCAGGCCACGCCCCAAGCCACGCCCACCCACGCCCACCAGCCACGCCCCCTGGCCCGGGCTGGGCTTCCGGGAGTTGGGGGTGAGTCTGGCTGCACTTCTCTCCAGCGCTGCTGTTTCCTCGCATCCCCTCCTCTTCCCGCCCTCGCTGTCTTCACTCAAATGCAGACCCCACGGGCTTCCCAAGCACGGGTGGGATTGCGTGAGGATCGTGTGAGACGGCCCCTTAAATTCGTGGGCCTGTGCTTGGCGTAGAGGAGGTGCCCAAGAAACAACCCCACCGGGTGTGGTGCAGCATAGCTGTAATCCCAGAACTCGGGAGGCTGAGGCAGGAGGATTGGGAGTTCCAGGCCAGCCTGGGCTACAGAGGGAGCTACATAGGCTTAAAAAAAAGAGTGTTGGGGGGTCATGGCTCAACTGGTAGGGCTCTGAGTTCAAACCCTCGTACCGCCAAAAAGAAAAAATAATTAATTAATCAGAATGTGTGATCGTAAAAGTGCCAGATCACAGAGCAGTGTTATCATCATCTTACAGAAAGGGAAACCGAGGGCAGGACATAACCTGTAACTCCAGCTACTGGGGACAAGGTGGAGGTAGGATGGTCAAGGTCCGGGTTGACCTGGACCAAAAGTTAGTGAGATCCTTTCTGAAAACAACTAAAGCAAAAAGGACTGAGGTCCTGGCTCAAGTGATAGAGCACCTGCCTAGCAAGTCCTAAGTCCTGAATTCAAAAATGAAAAACAACGTCCCTGCCCCACACCAAGCCTCAGGTCTGACACTGGCTGTGTCCGGATGTCAGTCTGTCCACACTGCCTGGCTGCTTCTCTCCCAGGCGCCCACAACAAAGCTCTCCTCTCAGCCTGGCGAGGACGAGAATATCAATGAGACAGATATTGCAGCCAGCACAGCCACCCCCTCTGCAGGACAAGATGTCCCAAGCGCTGGCCTCCTTGGATTTTCCCCCTCCCTGGTGGGATGAGGTGACAAAGCTGGGGAGATGGCATTCTGAAGCCCTCGAGTGTCTGAGTGTATACAGCTGGCACGTTGACAAAGTACCAGAACTGTCCCTCACCTTGTCCCACGTGGGGTCTCTGCTGGGAGGCGAGGACTGAGGACTCAGCACACAGTCGGGGAGCTGGGTAGGCAGAGTCCCCTTTCTAGGCTCCAGGCTCCGAAGCCGAGGACAACTGACAAGGGTCTTAGGTGGCTAGGGGCAGCTGAGTCCTTTGTGGACACAGGGCCGATGGAGACGGTTGAGTGTGGGACAGGAGGCATCTGGCCAGGCTGTCACATTGGGAAGCCCCAGATTGGTTTTGATATCATCTCTGCCCCAGGCTCTCCCAGCTGACGGAATCCTGTGACATCCTAGAGTCAAATTAATCTCTCCCCGTGCAGCTTCGAGGCTGGACTGGGGGAGTGGGTGGGCCTGGAGCTACCCATGGATGGTGGGGACGAGATCAGAACGCCTGCTTTCAGACCCTCTGTGTCGTTCCCAAACGTAGCTGTGTTGTGATTTGAAAAACACCAAATGAAAAACACAAACCACGTCCCAGCCGAAAGAGAAGCTGGGTGCTCCGGTGTATCGATTGACTCAGTGAGGGAGGCTGGGCGGGGGAGATCCCTTGATTCCAGGAGTTCGAGACCAGCCTGGGCAGTGTGTTGAGACACCGTGTCAACACAACACAACAGCACAAAGCAAAACAACAACAAGAACCAAAAAGAAAGGGGAACACAAAACATATACCACTGTCTTTGACCTCCTGTCTGAGCACATCTCTTTATTTATTTATTTTTTTGCAGTGATGGGATTTGAACCCAGGGCCTTCACCTTAAGCCACTCCACCAGCCCTAGTTTGTGAATGGTTTTTCGAGGCAGGGTCTTTCAAACTATTTGTCCAGGCTGGCTTTGAACCACAATCCTCCTGATCTCTGCCTCCTGAGTCACTAGGATGACGGGAATGAGTCACCAGCATCCAGTTCATTCTTTTTTTTTTTTTAACACCTTGATTGAGATATAATTCACACATCACAGAATTCACCACTTTATGCAGTATTAACTTCAGAACTTTTCCTCACCCCAAAAAGAAAGCCTGCACTCTAGCAGTCACTCCACATCTGCCCTCCCTGTGGTCCTTGGCAGCCACAATCTCTGCTCTGTCTTAGGCCCTTGTCTGTTCTTTCATCATTTCCTGCACATGGAGTCAGACCATATGTGCCCTTTTGTGACTGGCACACTGTTTTCAAGGTCTCTCCACATTGTAGCGTGAAGTAGCAATGCGTTCCTTTTTGTGGCTGAGTAACATTCCATCGATAGATATACCACATTTTGTTTATCCATGCAAACATTTTCCAAGTTCAAATTCAACTTTTGTCTTTGACTTGCTGCGTGATCTTAGACAAGTTACTTAATCTCTCTGTCCTCCTAGTTCTTCAACTAACATTAGGATCCACATCTTAGATTTGTTAATTTGTCAATAGCTTAATTGGTATAAATCAGTGCACAGTGGGTATTTGAGAGACAAGGGGAGACAAGGGCCTTTTTTTATTTTCTGGTGCTCAAGAGGGCATTTGTGTCCCCAGATGTGGGTCATACTGAACAAGGATGTCCTTCCTACCTTGTTCCAAAATCTGAAAGGCTGTGGGAGGCAGAGGAGGCGAGTCCAAGCCTCTTTCCCCACTTCACAGATGGGCAAACTGAGGCCAGGCTCTCTCTAAACTGGTTCTCTCTAAAACTGCAAAGCCCAAAGTCCCAGGAGGAGGGGCAGGAGGCTGGCCAGGGACCTCGGGCAGGTGTCCACCTCATCCCCACCCCGAGGACGGCCAGCTCAGGGTGGCCTTGGGAGGTGGGGAGCCTGACGGTTGTTGTCTCTGCCAGTGAGGAACCCGCAGCGCTGGCCTCTGCCCAGCGCCGTCAGGTTACTTCAGGTGTGACCCTGGGGTGGTCACCTAACTCCGTTTCCCTCCTCAGGAGACAGGGACAATGACACTGACCGGCCACACAGCAGCCAGGGCTCCCAGCCCCCAGCTCCCCGCTGCCCGGCTCTCAGTGGCCATGTTCTACAAACTCCAAGCCAAGGGGACCCCTGAGATGGGGTCCTTCATTCTGCTGGGCCTGTCCTCTCTGTACTCGGCCACCTTTTGCCACGCTGCCCAGTAAGGCTCCACAGCCCTCATCACACAGTGGTTAGAGGCCAGGGACGCACAACGCACAGGACAGTCCCCATAACAAGGGATGACCCAGCCTCAGATATCAGGGGAAACTGCTCCAGGGTAACACACCTCCTTTGTTTTACCTTCTCTACTTCTATTAATATGGCCAGGACCTGGTCTCAAGTAGGCAAAACATGTTCTATCTGAAACATCGCGTTCCATACCAACTGCCCCTAAGAGAAGTTAAAGGATTATTTTTAATCCAGTCCAGTCAGGTGTCCCTTGTTTTGCTGTCTGGGGCCCCAGCTGTGGACTGGCCTTTTGCGCTCCTCATTTGGGTCACCTGGCTTCAATCCATCATCGATTCGGTGAAGACCTTATGGAACCCTCTGTGGACACTTCCATGGTGTCCCAGCTTTGCGTCATCCCCCAAAGTGACAAACAGCTTCTCTAGGTGCCACGTTTAAAACACAGCTAAGGTCAGGACCCCACGGCCCCCGAAGCCT